TCCAGAGACTTGCCTTCAGCATACTGTGAGCTGTTTTCCAGATATGCCCTCCTTCTCAAATCAATTCTGTGAAATAGCTGCGATGATAATACAACAAGGGTATCGGAGACTATTCAACCACCAAACCAGATCTAGCTCATGTGCTTCCTTCAGTTACCGTGCTTTGAGAGAACCACCAGGAAGAGAGGACTCCACAGTGTAGTTGGTTAGTGGGTCTGTGTTTCTAAGGCCCATGTTTTCTACACTTGGACTCTGGTGGATGAATAGTTCTGTTACTAAGATTCTGATAGGCTTGCTGCTGTCGAAAGAAAGGACCTCCATTTCATTCCCCAGCTGGATTCTTCTTTCTTCTTTATACTGGCTTCTTGGACCTCCAGTAACCTGGCACAATTCACCTATCCTGCCAGGAAATTGTACACGTACTTTTATCTTCAGGTTTTGGCCCAGTGAGTGTTCAGCTGGACCTAGTCTGATGAATAGGCTTTGTGCAGGGTTGGGTGAACACCAGTCCCTGTGCAAAAGAACACAGGTATGGGTGGGATAACATGGTGCAATCTGCAGCTCCCAAAATGGGCTCTGATGGCAGCCGTCCAGGTCCCGTGTCTCTGTTCCCTGTTTCTAGCCAGGTTAACTAGTTTCCCTTGGTCCTGTTGCATTTACTAACTGGAATAACATGGGCATGTGATTAAACACGAGAGATTTCTCTTCTGGATGTAAAGCATAATGCCACAATGTTGTCTCTGCCTGCCATGCACATGTCCTTTTTTTCTTTTTTTTTTTTTTGGTAGGGCCCCCCCTTACAGAGTACTGGCTTTCTCAGCTGTGTTGCATAAAGGCAACCTGCCTGACTGAAGACAGATTACATATGGGTCATTCTAGAGCCAATTGCCACTATTATTTTATTTGGCAAGGGGAGATGCTGGAAAAACTATTGCTTCCACATATTGTTAATCCTGTAGTAAAATGTCCAATTCTCGTATGTCTAGCAGTAGGGCGTCAGGGAGCTGTTCCCTTCCCTGTGGGATTTTCTAGTGGGATTTTAATTCCATGTGTTTTAGAAAAATACGATCTACCGCTGATAAGGTAATAGTTTCCTTCTGTTGAAGCAGACTGTAAAAATTTGGCAGGCCGTCTGGATAGCAGAGAGAAACATAACATCTTGACTATCTAATAAAAAAAAAATTGACATGCCTGCGTATCCCATATGTCCCATGTATAATATATATCCCATGTATAATTAGGTGGGTATGTGTAACAGTGTACCTTGAAAAGCTTTGTTTATTCCTTTGGTTAGAACTCGTTTCAAGGGCAGTAACGTAAGTCCTGACATTTTGGCTTTGAGTTGTTGTTTTGCCCAGATTCTTTACTCAGTCTAAGTGCATCAAACCTGGCTGGCAGTTAGCCAGGAAGATTGTATTTCATTAATGGCCGTATGATTAAAGCCAACACAGCTTGATCTTTTACACTGCAAGCCTGTGATAATTTCAGTTCTCAGGAATGTCCTTGGTGGAGCGTGCCATCCTGCTATGTATCCTGTTCTGCCACTTCAGAACTAAAAACAGAAGGAAATTGATGGTTTATTAGTTTGTTTCTATGTACTTGCAGTAGTTAAATTAATGGGTTTTAAATCAAGATCTCTTAATAGAACTGAGTAATTTTGCTTCGTAAGTAGTTTTGCCAAATGATGCTAAAACCAAGTCAAATTAGGAACATACAGTGTGAGTAATAGATTTCCCTCTCATCCCCTGCAATGTGCATTCTTTTACTAGAGTTTATGTTATGATTGAACAGAGAATGTTATAAATAAAGTGTGTTTGCTTTTAATAAATCTCCAGTCAGTGCTCTTGACACATTCTGATGTACTACTCTTAGTTGTTTAAAGACCCATTTTAAGGATATGCCTTTTGTTCACATCAAAGTGTATGCCACAGAAGGTATAGCAGCCAAAAGAAACAGTGAACTCTTGTATTTAGCTGTCTGGTGATTCCAAATGTTGGAGAGGTTGTGCCCAGGGGTGGTTTGTCTCTTGTCCGTTGCTGATGCTGGAAGTCCTGTTAGCGTTTTCTAGAACAGATACAACCATTGAGCTCTGTCTTGTGCTCGTAATTACTGTTTACTCCTCACCTGACCAGAAGAAAGAACATCTCCCCATCTGTTTAGCCAGCAATCTGTTTCATCCATGACTTGTATCTACTTTAGATAAGGTTGTAAGGAATCCTGTTCTAGTCACTTGGTGGAAACATCTGTCTGTACTGAAAAAAGGAATGAGCCTCTCCAAAGTTCATTCTTATTTAACAGCTGATGAAGAATAAGAAATTGTTAGAATCTTATTTGTGGCTTGAATTTCACTCTGTAGTTCAAAGATGAAGGGTTTCCCATCTCGCTTCGGAACATTCAGCAAGCTGTTCCCTCTCTACCATGTACGAATACTTGATTTTGAAAGGAGAACTCAGCTTCTAAAAACAAAAAAACATAGGCTGTTGCAAGATGCATGTGCTCAGATGGATGTGCTTTTCAAAATGTAGTATTGCACTACCAGAGTTGTTACCCACAGTTCCATCTGTGTGTTGTTGTGGTGGTGGTGGTATAGTTTTTTTTCCCACCTGCGTGGTAAAGATGCTGTTTAAAATTCAGATGACTGAAGATGACGAATGGATAAGCATTTGGTGCAGTGCACAGGTATGTGTTTATATATATGAACAACTTGCCAAACAAGTGATTTAATTTTGGGGGTTTTCCACTTTGCAATATTTGAGAAGACATACCATGCAAAATAGTTGAGAAAGCTACCCCTGCCTGGGGAAAGCTGGCAGGAGTGTTAGTTCTGGCATAGCCATCATGCGATACCTACATGGACGGCTGTCCGAACTCAGTTTGCTGAAGAGACACATTATAAAATGTAGGGTCACCTTAGGATTGTTTATGACTATCTGAATAAAAGACATGAGGTCGTTTTATCGTAGTGTTGTTTTGCATGTGCTGCTTTAAGAGGCAAAAAGAAAATGTTTGATTGTATTTGTCAGCAATAAAAAATCATCTGCTGTTGACCAGCTTTGTCCTTCTCTTGCAGTTGCAAGGACAGGGCATCTGTAGGCCACATTTTAGGACTCTGCAGGCTACGTTTGGTCTTTGGGCTGCATGTTGAGCAATCCTCACTTAAAACCTACAAGGCAATTACCTACAACATGCTCGAAGATGAGACCTTCCAATCTTGTACGATTATTTGGTGGCTGCTGGCTGGTTGCACTCTTAAAACACAATCACATCGTTACATTCTTCCTAAAAAAAACCCCAACGTAACTGCATTTATCCTATTTGATCACTGACCCATGAGAATCCTGCTTCGTGCTCTTCATCTGCTACACAAAAAAGGACACCTCTGGAAGCAGGCGCCTCTTACCTTGTGTAAATAACTGCGAATGTGGAGGTGTGTTAAAGCACAATGGCAGTAAGTGGCCACAGACCGGGACACGTGTTGACTGTTTAGGAGAGAAAAGGTATTGATTTGCTTCTTTGTGCTCCTGATATCCTTGTGGAAAAGAGCAGGTGGCTGTAACACGGGCGTTTGGGTGTTTCTGGAGCTATAGTTAGTTTTTTGGGAGACCCTTCTTGTTGGGGTTATTGAAAAAAACAACTGTATGTAAAGCTTCTCTACTTTAATCTTTTATGCACCACACTTGGCTTTATATGATTTATAGTCTGCGCCCTTCTGCTGCATACATCCAAGAAATACCTTCCCAAGGAGAAATAAAGAAGCTTGTCATGTCTGTAAGCGGTAGAAACAGTACCCCCCAGCACAGGGGGTGCTCTTTGTGTGTTTGTCAAAGCATTAGTAGTTACGTTATGCTGCCAGTTCAGGATTTTAGAGTTGGTTTTGTCAGAAGCTTCTTTTTATATCCATGTCTTTGGTTTATGTGACACTAGCACCAAGAAGAGCTTTTGAAAAACTAGCAGTTAGCCATTGTAGGAAATTGCTATTAAGCAGAACTTGTCCTTATCAGCTTCTGCACTTATAAAATCTGTTTTGAGAGAGTGCCTTCTTCCCAGGAGTGCAGTTCAGATACAGGTTAGAGCCATCAGGTTGGGTCTTTTCTTCCCATATCTTCAGCTACATGTTTCTGCCTTTTTTTTTTTTTTCCCCACATTAGTTCTCACAGTGAACCAATTCAGAGAATTAAATTGGCAAAAAATTTAAGCCAGAGAATGGCCTTTTCTTCTGCTTTTTTCGTCCCCCCCCCCCCCCCCTCTGTTCCCACCTACTTGGTTATATTTCCAGAGTAGTCAGTGGGAAGGAGGAGATTCTTCAGAAAGGCAATTGGTCCCATATATCTTAGGCATATCTGTCTTAACTTGCTGTCTGAGGGTACCCCTCTCCTGCTACTGACTGTAAATAAAACTGTGTTGTATCTTGGATCAGATGCCTAATGGTGATAGGAATAGAGGTGGGAGATGTTATCTCAAGAATTAATGTTCTGTTAGTTCAGTTACAGTGGAAAAGATAAACATAAAGACTGTTTCTGCAGAGGAACAGGAGAGAGATAACCACAATAAAACACGAATACATATGGCTGTAAAAATTAACAGAATGGGGGAGAGTATTTTGAAAAAATGTAATAGCTAAGATTACGTTTCATTTTTTTCCTTCAGAAATGCATTCACTTTGAAGATACCATTCTGAGACCTTTTATTGATCCTATTATTTCCAACCACTGGTATGCAAAAACTATGAGTGGAAAGTTTTTGGGTATTCTTAATTCAGTGTTGGGAGTGCAGGAATCATCTACATACTGTGCTACATATTGTACTGTTTTGCAAGTGACCACTTGAATAATGTTTCTCTCACACGCTATTGTGGCAAAAAACTGATAAAACTAAGCACGTGCTTAATAACCAGCTATGACTCAGACTTGTAAAACTGAGGATTCTAAGCAAAGTAACAATTCAGCTGTGAAGACTTCAGCAGAAATACCTTTCAATTCTTCCTTTTCCCTTCTATAAAGAAACAACACAAATAGAAGATCCCAGGAAACAATGGAGGCAAGAACAAGAGAGAATGCTGAAAGATTATCTTATGGTAGCCCAGGATGCTCTCAGTACTCAGAAGGAACTGTACCAGGTGAAAGAACAGAGGCTAGCACTTGCACTGGATGAGTATGTACGGTTGAATGATGCCTACAAAGAAAAATCAAGCTCTCGTACAAGCTGTAAGTATAGTAGAAAATACAATGTAACCTCTTTGATCTGTGCCCTGCAGGTGATCCTGTTTCACGTTAGGATGGGTTTTCAAGGTTTGCTATGAACATCTTCTATTCTGGCTTTTTTTAGAGATAGCATCTTTTTTTTTTTTTTTAATATAAAGATATTCTGCTGGAAAGAACTCTCTCCTGTCTCATACAATTGAACTGCTTTGAGCCATGGTTTAGAGCAGTCTGCTCTGAACTCTGTTTTGTCACACAGTATGTCAGAACAAAATTCTACCAAATTTAGGTTCAAAGTAGACAGGATCTCCTGCACTTCATGGCTGCATACTGAAATGACCCTACCGGGTTGACAAGTACCTGCAGTGGACCAAAAAAGGAGTTTGCTGCTGCTTTACGCAGTAGTTTTACGCCATGTATGAATTAGGAGTGAAATAGAGATGCGTGTTACAATATTGGTCAAGGGATTGGCATGGTGAAGAGCTTTCAGAGGCCTGTATTTCTTTTGTTAGCCACTCTCCCAGAGGTGGATGCCCTCCAAGACTCTTAACCACCACTGTATCCCTCCTTTTGGTGCTCTCTGATAGCTTTATGTTATGTTGTGGCATCCACAACTGCACCTAGTGCTTGAGGTAAGATCGTACCCCTTACTGATTGCCACGCTGCAGTGCTGACTGTAACAGGATATAGATTGGCACAGTATCACAGCTTTTCTGTACTTTGTAGCTTTAGATCAATGTGGGTATGTCAAGGAAGAGACTGATTAATGATTTTTAAATGTTTAAATACTTTCCCTATTGTTTTTCTATCCTTATTATTTTTGAAGTATTCTCAGGCTCTTCATCAAGCACAAAGTATGACCCTGATATTTTGAAGGCTGAAATCTCCACTACAAGATTAAGGGTGAGAGTTCTTAATTCCTACTCATTTGTATTCTGTATGTAGGGTTTCTGACTATAGAATGCAAAGGTTGAAACAGCAGAAGTATCTTGCCACCCTGACACTGAAACCTCCTAATATTCTCATTAAATACCTAATATTCTCATTAAATTCTCATTCAAGGGCTTGTAATGAATTTTTAAATGAATTTTTAAAACTGTCTCAGCTAATTCTAGAGAATGCACTTTGGTGAAACTTTGACAGATAGTCTAGTAAGATGTGGATTTAAATAAATCTGTTATCTATTTTTACTTCTACGATTTTGCTTATAAAGAAAAAGTAAAAATAACTAGGTGAAAATAAAAAGGTAGTGGGCCAAAATGAGACAATCTAGATGATTGTACACAATCTTTCTTCTATGAGAAATGTGCCTTTAGCTACATGAAATGCCTTACAAATTTCTGTTGGTTTAAAAAGCACTTTCTAGTGATGCTGTGAAAATTTGTAAAAGTCAAAACATTCAGATGAGGAGTGGAAGTTTTTATTCATTTTGCGAAATCATTAACAAGCAAAAGTCTTTATGTGATCAACTTCTTCCAGTATGGTCACTAACGGACTCCATGTAAAGAACTGTCACTCACAGGTTACTTTCTAGTTAATTCATCTTGAATAAGGAGGAAACAGTGCAGAAGACCACATAAACCTACATAGGGAATTCATTTATTTAAGCTGTGGCATATGTTCATACGTTCACTATGGATAACCAGAACTTTCTGCAGTTAGGAATGACAAAAATCAGATCAAAACATGCAGGTTAAAAGGACAGAATCTCTGTGTGTAGTGCTTGAAGGGTGCTGGGATACAGATTCTGTGTGAGCAGAGGTGTCAGTTACTCAGCTCTTCCATTGCCCCCTCCTGGCTTCTGCACAGTGCAGTGCTCAGAAGCCTCTGAGAATAACATCCTTCTTCACCTTAGTGTGAAGTTTGAGAGTCTAAACAATTATTGTTTAAAAGGAATTGTGGAATAGCTCAATAACATTTTAAAACAATGTAAATCAGAGATGGAATACACTGTAAAACTGTTGTCCATTTGCTACCCTCCCTACTGCTTGCACAGCCTGTTCTTTTTTTAGAAATCTCAGTCTGTAACCCCTTATTTTTTAAGTAGAGGGGGAAGTCATCAGTAAGAAAGCCTATTTCAGCAGTGAGAATATTGGAGCAAAAATTTTGGAAGCTTTTGGAGTAGGATCTACAGCAATATGGACCCTGGCTGGGAATGAGAATGAAAACACAAGGCTAGAGCTTCTTTCTAAAATCAGCTCAGCAGTAGAAGATGGTTTTCCATTGGCAAGGGAATCGCTGGTATATTTAGGAAATTAAAGGTATTGTTGAAGAACAATGCACATGACCAAATGTAAATATAGTCTTCTAAGAGCCAGAGGAGAAAATTCAAATGCTTGTTTTTTCCAATACTTAAATCTAATAGCTCCCATCTTGGAATGCATCGATACTGAATTACCTCTTAGCTACAGATCTACACATTGTCCATTTGTCAAGGAACAGGCAAATGTGTTAATCACAGCCGATCAGTTTCTGGAGTTTTTTTCTCTTCATTGCTTGTCAGAGTGAAGGAGCCTAACATGCTGCTGGTTCTCAGTGCCTGATTTATTGGCATTGCAAAGTCCAAGTTGCATATGTGCCTAAAATAGGTGACCTGAATCTTGTCTGCAGACTTTAGAAGGGTGCAGTCCAAGAATATCTGTATCAGCATAAAGTGTGTTATCATCCAAACCCACTGGATTTGAGAGTCATTGAGATAAGAAAAAGTGGAGCCCTGTGATGCTAGGGCTGGAAAGTGGTTTTCGAGGAGGATGGCAAGAGAGGTATGACTGTATTATATCGTAGTTTACCCTTATTTGAATGTTTGAGGATGCTTTGCTAATATTCAGCCTTGTGGCATTCTGTAGTATATGCATGCGTGGACTTAATGGGAAACAAAGTTAGTCATTAGCAAGCTGCTGGCCAACTAGTTAGAATTTGCACATTGCTTAGTGAACTATTAGGGCAGATGTACTAAACCCATTTCTCTCTGTCACACGTGCTCACTGAGGTGTACTGGCATCATCAGGTTAATGGTAGCTGGGGGAAAAACTCAGCATTCAAAGAAGTTCTGAAGTAGCCTTTGGCCTTTTCCTTGTTAGCTGTGCTTAATATATGCATATGGCACCTTCTGGATACATGAGTTGTCTGTTCACAATTTGTCATGGAGACTATATGACAGAAATATGACAGTTTGAATGAAATAAGCAGGGACAAAAATTTGATATGTGATCAAAGATCGTTTTATGCAAATGCAACAAGTAGGGGATGAGCCTTTATAAGATAACAGGAGTTTTTTCTGATGTTCTATTAGTGCTTGAGAACTGGGGATAGAAGGAGTTAGCACAGAAGCATGCCTGAAGAGAGAAGGAGGAAGCAAGAGGTCTGTCAGGTGGCTTAAGAAGATGTGCAGATGCGGTATGATGGGGGTGAAGGATAGGACGAGTGAAGAGTTGTGAAAAGTGGGATTGTAAAAGTTTTGAAGGAGAAGGGAAGGAACGGAACACAAGGATATTTTAATGCGACCTGCAGTGCAGTAAACACAGTCTTTCTATTATCATGTATGTCACATCCTTCCATGGTAACCTAACTCACATTTCCTGATAATAAAATGATGATGAATTACGGCAGAGGACACTCAGAAGATGATCTTGAGGAAAATGTAAGGGCTTCAGAGAGATCCAACCCTCAAAGTTGGAAGCGAGTATGCCATCTGCAATTACAATAAATTCATATTTTGGATTAAGGAAAAGTGTAGTCATTCTTCATTTCTCAGCAAAGTTAAGGCTTTTTCATATTTCACATTACTTTACCTGAAACCCAGTAGTGATATCTGTTTGTTTTTTATAACCTTGCTTGGAATACTTGAGAGAGATTATTCCTGGAGTTAAAAAAAATTATCATTTAGTTCTCTGTTCTTCTTAACTGTAGGAAAGTGTCATGCTCGTTGGGGGAAAAAGTAGTTAAGGAAAGCTGAATGTGTTGTTAGGGACATTGCCACTTTATCATGCTAAATAATCTGTATCGTCAAAATAAAATCAGTTTTCTGTCAAGCGTAGCAGCTACTGATTGTAGTTTCTAAAAGCCTGAACCTAGCCCTAATTATCTAGTTAACAGATTTGCTTTGGAGAAAAAGGAGCTTGCAAGCAGCATTTTGTTTCTGTCAAAGAAAAGTCATTAGCCAGAACTTACAAACTTGAATGCCTAAGTATAAATCACAAATCTATATGTAGAAGCACATATGAAGCATTTTAAGTCTCTTGGAAAGCTCCAGCAGTTGCTTGTGCTTCCTACTCTTGGTTTCCTGGCACGTTGGGTATTACACTTCTCGGTTTAAATAATAGGACAAAGTAGGCAACCTAAGAAGTGGCTGCAAAAAGTCTTGGAACCATAATTTTAAAATCATTTTCAGTTGAAGTGGTCACAATTCTTTATTTTAATATACTCAATTTTCAAGATGGAGTTGAGTGTCTGAAGACCTACCTAAAAACATCGAGCATTTCAGGGTGGTAGTGAGAGCAGAAGACTTCTTGTGGGCTTTTCCTTTTTTCACCTTGCTGATTGGGAAGCGAGGGAAAAAAATCTGGCTATTATCTAGCGTGCAAATCAACAGATGTTGGTGTGTAAATACTAACGTTTGGGACTCCACATTTCAGGTACACTTTTTCTGTTTGTGCTAAGGATGAATTTTAGTTTCTGTTAGAAGTACACTGCTAATTCAGTCCAGAAACTTTTAGTATGTTTGGAAATTGTCACACTAAAAACAACAAAAACAACAAACAAATTGCCAAACCTCAATTTAATTTCATCTTAATTCATAAGTATTTTATATTGAATATCAATATTAATGTTAAAAAGCATGTGAGCATGGAAATTTAGGGAAAATAGGGAATGTTTTCCCAAAGACTGTTCTATTAAGTAAATGCATGTACTTGTGATCCAAACGTATTTAATTATTGTTGCTTTTGTGAATGTGAACTACGTATTTTGGGATCCAATGCCTGAAAAGCTTTATGAGAAAGGATAATTCATAGAAAAAAGCAGAGTCCAGACTTCGTTTTTACTATGTAAATGACTTAACAGCTTTCTGGAATGAAAATGTGAAAATACAGTAAACTTAAAAATAAGCAGGAATGTCCCTGTAGGACAGTTGGAATGCATGCTTAACAAGGAGAAGTAAATTACTTGCTAAAGTTCTCTCAGGTTTAATAACACAGTGTGGTATCAATACAAATAAGGAATGTGATTTAATCTGCTTGTGTCTCTTTAATACTAAAGCATGTTGCCCAAGACGTAAAGAGAACTGATCTTTCTGTTTTTAATGTGTGTCAGTAGAGCAATTTACTCTTTCTTTATTTTCCTCACCCGAGGTAGAGTATGTTAATTGTTCGAAGCTGTGCGTTGTGCTGTTTGAGGAGGAATTTTCTAAGTCTTGCTTTGATTTAACACAAGGTTAAGAAGCTGAAGAGGGAGCTCTCTCAGATGAAGCAGGAGCTGCTGTACAAGGAGCAGGGCTTTGAAACGCTGCAACAGTGAGTAATAAAAAAACAGATGAAGTTGACTTAATTCAGTTGTATGAACTTTTTTTTCGGTCGCAGAAGTGAATACATCTTATGTGAGATTATTATGGGAAACGTGAGAATCTACAACTCCTTCTGTTGAAGTTAAAGAGCAGGAAATCTGTAGAAATAGCAAACCTATTGTGCAAGTGTTAACATGAGAAATCTGTTCCTCCTACTTTTTTCATGAAAGAGCTTGGTTGCAAAGAGGCAAAAGGAAAGTCAGTGGTTAAGGGTTCCTAGGAGAATTTAGCTGCTTTGCATGTCCCATTTAATAAAACAAACAAACAGAAAAAAAACACCCTAAAAACTGAAGGAAGTGATTAGGTCTGTCTTTCTTTCTTCCCCACATCTGCACTCAAAGAGAAAGAGGAGGATGCTGGTCTCAGAGGTATAAATGGTGGCAGAACTGTGCCAGGTTTGAAATGAGCCACAATTTGAGTGTTGGAGACCTGACTTTCTTTGCTCCAGCTGCTGTGATGCCTGGGCTGCAAAGGGCTGAGCTAGGGGCACATTTCGGGTATCTAAGTTGGATTATTAGAAACCCATTTATTTATGTATTAATTTATTTATTTTCAGTCTGAGCAGTCTGTGCTGCCCCTGACTTTGTTGGGCCCTAAAATAGTAATAGATCAGTTTTGTACAGAAGGATTCTATCTATCTATCTACCTATCTATCTATCTACCTATCTATCTATCTACCTATCTATCTATCTATCTATCTATTCATTCATTCATTCATTTGAATGCAGAGAAAGAAATTCTAGTCCAGGAAAATGATGAATAAAAATCATAGGATCACAGAATGGCCTGGGTTGAAAAGCACCACAATGATCATCCAGTTTCAACCCCCTGCTGTATGCAGGGTTGCCAACCACCAGACCAGGCTGCCCAGAGCCACATCCAGCCTGGCCTTTTCCATCTCCAGGGATGGGGCAATCACAGCCTCCTTGGGCAACCTGTTCCAGTGTGTCACCACCCTCTGTGTGAAAAACTTCCTCCTAATATCTAACCTAAACCTCCCCTGTCTCAGTGTTCTATCATAGTTACAGACTTGTCCAAATGGAGCAAATCTTTTTTTGTTATTCTTGTTTTTAAATACAAGAGCATGAAGTAGATTGGGAACTGAAGCCCTTCAGCACCTTAGGAGGATGCCAGTGACATCACTGTCTTCTTTCATTTTAACTAAGGCAGAAATGTGAGATTTTGTTATTTAAATACATAAAGACTAGACTGGAGTGAGGGGAGAAAAAGATAACTGATTGAATTTATTTAAACATGAATTGGATTTCAAAGCAAAGTTTAGAAGAGAAAGACATATTGGTTCTAAAGCTGAAGGTAATAAAAACTCACGCTGCTGTCCAAAGATTAAAGGTTAGCCAATCATGCTGGTTTTATTATATTAATTCAACAATGAAGTATTGTTTTAAAGCAGCTTGCTCACAGGCCATTTCGATAGGAATCCAAAGCATGTTTCAGAAACTGTCAACAGCATTCCACAGGAATACAATGGGCGTTTGTTTAAAAAATTCAGTCAGCCGCTTTTGAACAGCACTAATCCCATTAATTTAAAACGGGGAGAAGGAATATCGTATATGTCAGAGATCCTTCTTGTCTATCTTAATTATATATAGAATAAAGCAGTTGCAATTTGAATATGGCACGGTGTGTTAGTAGGCAGCGTGTGGTGTATTTATTACCCAAGCGTTCATTCATGACTGCAATTGTTGGCATATCCTGTATCTGTCTGACCTTGGCAACTTGGTGTAGGTTACCAGAAATTGAGTGCTGTCAGAGAGTAGGTGTGTGCATACTTATGAAAGAGTTTGGGGAACTTTCAAGTTGAAACAAAGACATCCTTGAGTAGGAATCTGAGTGCAGAGGCATGTTTTTCACACAAATTTGGTTCTGTTTTGCAGAAAAGCTGAAATGTGGAGAAAGGAAAAAAGTTACTCTCGTATCTCTAATGACTGCTTTAGAATCTTGATATATTTGTGCACAAAATTAAAAGAAAAATAGAATACTTTGTTTCAGGGGTTTTGTGTTCTTGCTCAGATGTTCATTCCTCACTCACAAGGTTAATGTCTTGTAGAAGGATGATGGCTGATGATAAAAACAGAAAACCAACTGTATGATAAAGGAATGTATTCTCTAGTAGATGGTGAAGATGCCTGTTGTTTTTAATTTTGTGAAGCACAGCTGCAGCCATTTGTACAGTGCTATAAAATATTCAGTTAACACATTTCTTCAACCTGTAGTTTTACAAACTCAATTTTTTGAAGCCAATATGTAAAAAACAAAATGAAAAACAGTCGTCTCCAATGTTATTTTTAAGTTATTATTTTAAAAAAATTATTGATATTCCAGTAGTTCAGTAATTATCCAGTGTATGACAGATGGTATAAATTATCCATAGATTCAGTGAGTAAAGAGAGCCTGATGACTGGGTGAGCGCAGCAGCTGCACGAGGTGGTTAGTTGTTAGGATTAGGGTAAGCAAGATGGAAGCTGAGGGAAGAGTATGGTTACACGTTTTGTCTGCAAGAACGGTCAGTACCTACAAGCTTGGTTGTCTGGATGCCACACTGTGGGTCTGGATAGAGGAATACTGCCCGTAATATATTCTGCTTCTCTAAGTACTGCAAATAGCTAAAATAATAGCTATTAGCTATTAGCTAAAGCCGAAGCCCAAAGTTGCTCCTGCATTGCAGAGGGTTAGGGTGGGCATAGGATTTTTTTATCGTGTTGACAGCACTATGTTGTACTCCTGGTAGCACGTGTAAGAGTACTGCTTCAGGTAGTGCTCTGTGCCTCGCACGTCTTTAAGACTGAATCAGTGGTTTTAATGCCAACATGCTTTTTTCCTTTTCAAAAAATTTCCTGTGTCAGCAAAACCCATCACTGTGTGTGTGTCCGATAGCTTGACATTTTTGCCACACAGAAAGTATTTTAATGCAGGTTTCAGTGTCCTTTTTCTCTTTGCTTGTCTGCTAAAGGAAATATTATCAGTTACTCTTGCCCTTCTGTCCTAACTATGCTTGTCTGAAACAGAACAGCAGAGATGTTAACATTATTTGCAGTATGCAGTATTAATATGCTCTTCTTTCCACAGAATTGACCAAAAAATGTCTGGAGGCCAGAGCGGGTATGAACTATGTGAGGCTAAAGCCATCCTGAGTGAACTGAAATCCATCAGAAAGGCGATAAGTTCAGGAGAGAGAGAAAAACAAGATTTAATGAAGGTATTTTCTAGGGTTAGCATAAGTTTCGTGTGGATTTGTTTCATCAGAAGGAACTTTAATGATGCTAAATACTGTACATTTTATACTTTTTAAGGGATTTTCAAAACCATGTGCCAAACTAGCGTTAAAATCTGTTTTGTGATGCAGAAACTGAAGCTTGTGACTTTCCTAATTCAAAAAGTCCCTGAATGGCAGTCAGAATATAGGTATCTGAACTTGTTGGTAATGTTGCATATTACCTCTATAACACTATTGAAAATATTACGTGGGTGAAACTTGAGACAGCCATTTTCTAAATGGGCACAAGTTCTGCAAATTGCTCTGCATTTGTATCTGAAAGTAGATTACTTATTTATTTATTTTGCATCAACCAAATATTTGATTGGTTTATAAAGACAAGCAAGGGAGAGAGAGGCAACAAGAACCAGAATGATGTGATTGTACTCAGTGTCACTTAAGAACTACTTGATTAAAAGGATGGTTTTCTAACATGAAGAAAAATGCATACATATATATACTGGAGTCTTCTAGATAAGTATCTTCTGAATAGAAACCAGTATGAACTCTGTAAAGTATCACAGATTCACAGAATGACTGGGGTTGGAGGGGGACCTCTGGGGAACATCTAGTGCAACTCCTTGCTAAAGCAGCTTCCCTAGAGAACTTGTACAAAAGTACAGTTTAACACCATCTTGTTCTGTTTCCTGGACAGAGTCTTGCAAAACTGAAAGAGAAATTCAATCTTGACCAGAATATTGGGACATCGGAACCAGACCTGAGTTCCAGCTCTGTAAATTCCCAGCTGTGTTTTTCTAGACAAACTCTGGATGCAGGGTCTCAGACTGACATTTCTGGTGAGGTGAGCCTTTTCATTTTGTCAAACGTAAAGAGAAATTGAATCAGAATGCTGTGGTTAATGGAATTGGCTGTTACAAACGGCTGTTTACTGTTGCTGATAGGTGTTATATATATGCACATTTAAGAGAAAATTACTTAGAATCAGTCATCTGATTTTCCACTTCAAATTTAAATCAGGATTCAGATGAAGTTTTCACATTTGGCATGAAGCATTTATGCCAATCTGATTTAATCAAGTAGTTCCAGTACAGTGAAGAAGAATGTAAGTAAATAGTATTTTTTGGATCCATCTATGTGGATGTTGTACCTTACAGACTTACTCTGATCTGAAAATGTCTTTAATTTTCAGAAACAAGATCTCAAAATTTAACTGTGCAGTTTCATTTCCACAGCTGAAAAAACATAAGGGAAGTATCTCTTCAGTGATTCATTAATAATTTCTCTGTGTTAGTGATGGTATATTTACAGTGACAGAAAGCTGTGCTTAATTTTGGCACTTTCTTTATACTTCTGTGTGCTAAATTTATAAGGAAGAGCTTGTACTAGGTTTTCCAAGCAGAGGAAAGCTTGCCTACAGATGGTAGCTTTCTTTTTTTTCTTTTTTTTTTTTTTCTTTTTTTTTTTTTTTTTTAAGTCTGAAGTCGTGCCCTGGGATTGCACCTATTTACCCCTGAATTTTGAGTTCAGTGGGAGTTTGAAGTGGGTCAAAATTTTGTGTTTCAGTCAATGCAAGACCTCTTTGAAAATGTCCGCGATTTACTCTGCTGGAATATGGCAGTACGGTAATTAAACGCAGATAAAGTGCATGAGAAGGAAACAGCACTGAGTGTATTACTATCTGTGGATATCATAGCGAGCGTATGGCCAAAGCGGGCGTCGTTCCATTTTTCTAAGAAGTAATTTTTCTAGCCTGGGCATTTGTTGATATATACTGTTGATTTGTTTTACAGTTTTGCACAGTGTTGAGGCTAATATTTTTTTCAATAGGTTGGAACAAGAAGTAGATCCAATTTAGCAGAGAAGGTCAGACTAAGTCTTCAATATGAAGAGGCAAAGAGAAGGTAATGGGGTTAGTCGCTTTGTTAAATTACAGTCTTGAGTCGGGCATTTTCTCCAATGCTAACATTGTGCTCGCAGTGACATCTAGTGGACGCCCCTGTGCACGCGCTGGAGGCATTACTGCAAAACGTTTCTTTCTCTCCTGAAAGTAAAGCAGGCTTTTGCTTTTGAGCAGTAGTTTTTACACGTGATGCTAAGTTACGTAAGTCAAGAAATGAAATGAAAAGTTATAATATCAGTTCCAGGATTGTGGAAATAGAGTGAAAGGGTGTTCGAATGAAAGGCTGCCAGGCTATTTACTTCCATTTAAATTCTTCTCTGGGGTCATCATTTCAGTTTAGTATGCAACTGATGGTTCTTCAGGTATAATGCTTCAGAGTTCCACTTCAGATTTTGTAGGCTCAATTATCTCTTTTTTTTAATCTTTTATCTGAAACTCGGAATCATAGAATGGCTTGGGTTGGAAGGGATGCTAAAGATCATCAAGCTCCAATCCCCTGCCATGGGCAGGGCTGCCAACCACTAGATCAGGCTGCCCAGGGCCCACCCAGCCTTGACTTAGAATAATTTAAATACTTGTTTTCACTGTGAGATTATTTTTTAATAGCCTAGGGAGACAGGAAATCAGGAACTGCCCCACTGATGAACGTGAAATGTCTTTCAAATAAGGTTCTGCAGTGGTTGCTCTTGAAAGCAGTGCTGTTTTGATGGATTGCCACAGCGCTGAAGAATAGGCATCAGAAAGCAGGACATTCCAGGTTACAGTAACATATATTCTGGTAGAGCAGAGGAGTAGTGCTCCATAATACTGGGGAAGGTTTACATTATTTAAACAAATAAATCGCATGTCAGCTATTCAGAAACCATACAGCTTTTGTTATGTAATTTAAGAGAAATATAAGTCTAGAAAGTTATCTCACACCCCAGGCTCCTTTTTTTATATTAAAAAAGATGACAATAAAGGAAGAACTAACACTTTTCCGTAGTTGAAAATTGTACCTATAATGAGACTTGCTTTGTGACTTAATTATTAATTCACTTAGAATACTGTGGCATGATCAATTAGAAAACCAGGAAGAGAATTTTTAGCTTATAAGGACAATGTAACAGCTTAAATAGTTTTAATGTTTTAAAGATGAGAGGCTGCACAGTCACTTTCCAAAATCCAGATGTATATTCTTTATGCAATAGTAGTTGCCATTCTTGCTGGAAACAACAGTAATCTTTTCTACCATCTTTATGGATCATAAAACTTGTTATATAATCAATGCAATTGATTAAGAGCGATAAAACTATTGTGTTTCTTCAGCATTGAACTTGCATGATTTCAGCTCAAAGTCATTGTGTATATAGTACTGTCAGATGGTTTTCTAGATTTATATAGATGGCACTTGCTCTCAATTTCCTTTTATCCGAAACCAGATTATCCTCTGTTGTGACTGTATTGATACCAAGAAGTCCCACCGTCGTGTTTTGTTTCTCATTTGGAACAAAAAGGTACTCTGGCAGTAATCAGTGTACCACTTCTAGCTGTTAGAAAAGCATGGCTTTTGGACTCTGAACAACTGCAGCGTAAAATCTTACTTTCTCACAAATTAACCAAGAAGATGAGTCAAAATTGCAGTAGATGAAATACTTAATCTTTGCATAACCACGTATTTCATCTGTATGACATCAGTGTGTTCTAATGTTAAATTACTTTTTTAAATGGTGTCTTCATTCAATTTTGTCTAAAAGTCCAAATAATGAATATTCCTTTGCACTTTAAATAAGACAGTCAGATTACTTGAAGACACAGTTAAAGTCATTGAAGTGTTGGAGCATACTGTTTTTATTAGTGATTATTGGGCGAACTTAATAAAGCATGCATATCTTACAATAATGAAGATACATACCAGTAATTATTATGGCCACTGTAAGCTAGTAAGTATTGACCATCTTTTCTGAAATATTAAATGTGCAAGTTCAAAGTTGCCTTATATTAAAAAAAAAAAACAAAAGCAACAGCAACAACAACAACAACAACAAAAAAAAAAAAACACAAAACCATTATCAACAACAACAAAAGATCTAATGAATGAACTTCTCTATTTGGAAATTATCAGATAGTTTTGCATTGCGTGTTTTATGTTGTTTAGTTAGCAAAGCCTCTTGAAGTGGTAGAATGTTGCCTTGGGTTTTTGAGGACATAAAGTTATGTGGCATGAACATTTATGTTGCTTAAATAAGTAGAAGCTACTGATTTTGACAAAATAAAGAATTGGATGAATTTAGAGTTTGTCAGCTGTGTGAAATCCACTGTCAGGCTGCAGTTGCTAGTCAGAAGGGTCTGATATTTTACGCTGACAATCATATCCTGATGTGGTAAAACTCCAGCTACGTGCCTTATTGACTTGTTGAGCAAAGACTATCTTAAAAGTGTGAAACCAGTTTTGTTTTCATATCCATGTAGTCCTTTGCCTTTCTTGATGAGGCAGCACACAAAAAATGTCAGAACAGCAGAGAGTTATCTGTAGCAGAGGGGACAAAAGAATTGTTAGGAGGCCACTGTCCCATTCCTTAGGCCATCAAACAGCTGTCACTAGCAGCTACTTTCAGAACAAGGCCAGCAGGAATCAGTGACCTGGAGATGAAAATCTTAACACCTTATCCATCTGAAATGATTCCCTTGTTTTCCTCTGTGTACAGCTCCTCTAAAGGACTGCTGAATATAAATTATATATATTTATATAACAGCTGCAACGTATGTTGAAATGCTTCATTTCTTTTCACCCTATCGTTTGTTTGCGGTAACACTGCTGATTGTATTTCAATTTGACTTATTTTGCATTGTTTTTCATAAAATCACTCAGAGTTGCACATGTTCTTGCAGCAATTTGGCAGGTGTTTTTTTTATTCTGGCTCTTTTTTAAAGCTTTTTTTTTTTTTTTTTTTTTTATTGAGATGCAGGTGAGAAGGAAATGGTACCTATGGAAAAAAAAAGAAGAGCTTGCCCTTAAGCTTCTGGTCTAAGCAGTGAGATAGTTAGATTTAATAGTAACTGTTCTTAGCTTTTATCGTAACTAAATGCCATAATGTACTGTAAATTAATTATAGAGATGCAAAATAAGAATGATATTATTAGTTTTGTTAATTGCAGAAAACAGACTGGAAGGAAGAAGTGTGTTTTCCTAGAAATCTGTCAGGACAGTGGAAAGATCATACAGACCAAATGATGCATGTGTGGTTGATGCAGAATGGTCATTACTGAGGTAGTGCCTGCTAATGCTGAAGTTGCACAGACTTGTGTCAGCTGGTGAGCTAACTTAGGTGTATCTGCTATGATAGGAATCAGTAAAAGCAACAGATTAGGTTTTCTTGCCCTAGAATGGGAATGGCCTTCTATTCTGACTTTTCCTTTCTCTGCCTTTTTCCCAGCCTACAACAAAGAGGTGCAGAAAGCTAGGAGCTGTTACAGAGTTCAGAGCTTCCACAGTTTTATGCAGCTGTTTCAGGTGCAGATAAGGCTGGAAGTGACTGAAAGTTATCATCTGGATAGATATGTGAAACGTATATTGGGGAACTGTTATGTTTTACATAGTTCCCAATGGACAATGAGTCTATTCCAAAACTACCCTTTATAAGCTGCACAGTTGAGCCCAACAACAAATGGTTCTGGTGACTAAGTACTGGAAATAATCTTTCCTGATTAGGACTGAGCAATCGCACAGTAATAATGTAGGGAGGTTTCTGCTACTGCTGTGTGTGTTATCTGCATGGATAACCAGGTCTCGGGTATCCTAACTCTGTGACTGGACATCTACAGTGGGAATAGCAGTTGCACAAGCTTCTAAGTTATTCATCTACTTTTATTTTAGGTGGCCACTGTCATATTGCCTTTTTTTTTTAATCACAGAGGGGAACATTGTTTTTGTCTCTTAAAATTTGCATGTGTACTTGATGCAACACTGAGCACCTTGATATTCTGCATATTCTTTAACAATGTTCCTCACTGTTAGAGGAGCTGAATAGTCTCCCACAGCTTAGAAGAAATAGACAAACTCCTTGACGACTAAAGCAAAGTGTTGCTACTACGTGACCAGACAGATCACTTTCAATAAAGCTTTTATTAAAGTCAAGACTTTTAATTCAACTCAGGATTTGAGCAAGAGAAACTCATTTCTAGTGTATTTGGGTATTGACGTCTGTTTTAGCATTCTTCCATATATGAGACATGTGAATTTAGGGCACCGTAGCTTGAAAGTTTGCTGTTAGTTGCTTTGTGCTTCTCAGAATACATTCTTCCAAGGTGTCTGAAGCAGAGAAGAGTACACGGCCTGTTGGCCTGGATAGGTGGCTTGCATTTCTGGAAAAGTTGCATTCTTGTCAAGTAAAGGTAATTAAAAGCACGGGTTTAAATAGAAAAAGCTGTTCTGTACTTACACCTTCAAAATGTTGCATCACTTCTATCTTTCATGGAAATTATGTGCTGTGCTAGGCTCAGGCAAATCTGCTGTGTTTTATTTTAGCATGGCTAACTTGAAGATCGAACTGTCTAAGTTAGATAGTGAGGCCTGGCCTGGGGCGCTGGATGTGGAAAAGGAAAAATTGATGTTAATCAATGAAAAAGAAGAGCTTTTAAAAGAACTCCAGTTTATCACACCACGCAAACGTACTCAAGATGAGCTAGAGCAGCTGGAAGCAGAAAGAAGGAGGCTTGAAGAAGAGCTGCACTCTGTAAAAAGCGAACCCAGTCAAGCACTTGCTGAAAGGTAAGGGATTGTTTTTGCTGATACTAAGTGCCACTTTCTGCAGTCTAACCTTTGTACTCATTACAGGCCGTGAACTGTGCCTTGACGGGCTGTTTTCCTTCAGTAACTGTTCTATGTAGATCTTAATTAAATTTGTTATTAGCCCACTGGGCAGAAAAACAAAGGATTCTTCTGTACTCAGAGAGAATTTGAACACCCTGTATGTGCTCTCAATATCAGTCGCTCTGTGTTTGTTACCAGCATGAAAATGCCTGGCAGATGTTAAATAACTGAGAAATGTCAGCGTACCAGCAGGAGGGCAATACATCATTCACTGATTTCTGATAATATGCGTAAACTATTTGAACTCAGGTTACAAAGATTATCTTGATTGTTGCAACATCAGAAGCCCTTTTTTGTGAGTTTTTTTAGTTGCAAAAATGCAACCAAAAGACAAAAAAATGGGAGACGAGGGGGGAGGAGTAAAAATTAAACTTTCCTAACTTTTCACTTCCTAACTGTTAACCAAAGCAACTTCCACCATAGATGAGCATTAGCCAGGTTAAGAGGTGGAGAAAATCAAAGATGACTGCCACAAGTGGACTTTCCATTAACTGTAAGTGGAAGTAAATCTATGGGAACCTCTAGCTCGCATAAAAAGCCTATAAGCACAAAATGTTGCCTGTCTTACTGAAGTAATACAATCAGCATTGTAAGACTGCTAGGAAAACACTTGCTATTGCACCATTGTTGCTGGATGGTGAAATTCCTGTTGGTGGCCTTAAAAGTTGGTTCCTAAATTTTAGATGAGCAATGAGGAAATTTTTTATTGTCTACGCAAGAAACGTGTGAATAAGGCATGATTTTTAAGCATATTTGTGTACAGTTGAACATTTTTAAACTACATTGTATTGAGAATTCAGATTGTTTTAGAAGAAGGGTTGTGTCTTACTACTACAATTGTACAAGAGAAAAGTGTTGATAGCATCTAAATTACTGCAGATTCGTTGCTTTCTGACTTCCATCGATAAATAGGCAATAAGGGGTTCATAATAAATTCACATAGGCAAATAAATGTGAACTGAAGGTTTTTATAATAATGCCATTGTAAGTGTGTTGGTACCAAAGACAATTCTGACATAACATTTTTCCCATACATGTCAGATGCCAAACTTGGGCGTCTGACATGCCAAGGACAAATAAAATTTTCTCCCATTCAAGAAAAGCATATGGCTAATTGCATCAGATCAAACATTAGCATTTCATTTCTTTCTAGCTCCCATTACTGGTGGAGGAGATACACCATCTTTAAAGCGCAGCGCTATCATTGCATTACTATTTTATTTCATGAAGTTTCATGAATACCTTATGTTTCCATTGTTTTGCTGCTACTGTTAATGAAATGAAAGTGTAAGAAGCTATAGATTGCCAAGAGCTCAATATGACAAGTTGTTTTTCCTTTTTTAAGGTTCTGTGTTTGTTTGTTCATTTTTTAAAGGGAGAAAATAAACAGGAGGCTTGCTCTGGCTTAAAAACATGGTTGGTGTAGCCCTGGGTTATGCTGTATGCTGAAACTGCCACTGGTAGATGTACTTGGAGTCAGTTTGCAGATAGAGGGCATAAATCATAACTTATCAGCTTCAAAAAAGCAGAGACAGGGTACAGTCTCAATGCTTGAAGGAGCCTTCCAGCAGCTGTTCAGAAATATCTGGATTGTGGGGCTGCTAAGAACTGCTTGCTGCTTTCTTGTCTCTGCATTCATTTTAGGGAGATTCCATTAACTTCTTGAGTCCTCAGCAAAGTATTCTCAGTAATCATAGGCATTAAGTTAGAGGGATGGTTGTGCTTTTGCCTGTAAAACTGACCCTCACTCTTATATCTCGTAAACAAATACATCCACATAAATTTCCACCTAAAGAAGGTGAAGTGTGTGTAATTTAAGTTTCTTTATTAGTTATTATTATTTTTTAAGATTCTATGCCTCTGAGTGTTACAATTTCTGATCAAAACTGGGAAAAGGTGTCTCGCTAAGACATCACGCCTGCAATGAGTATTAGACTTGTTGGGATGGGAGGGTTGCAACTGGAGTTTGCCCTGTTGATGGTTTGAGTGCTCATGTGGTCTTTGGCATGTTAAAGATCATGCCTGTGCTATAAGTTCAGAAACTTTAAAAGTTTTGAATTTGGCCCAGTATAGAAGGGGAAAAAATAATTCCTTGTGGAATGTGAAATGTTGTGAATTTGTGTAACTCACAAAAGAGTTAATGAAGAGCACTGTTGCTTGAGGAAAGCGGGATGGATTACGCTTTAAAAGAAGGCAGAAGGGTTTACATAGTGAAAAAAAAAATGGTGGGAAAGAATGTCTGATACCACAGATGAGCATAGTTACTGGCTTGGGAACATGAGCAAAGACTGAATTGCTGTGTATGCTTTTAACAAGGTTAGCAGGTACTGGCAGATGAGCACATCATTGCAGTGTAAGAGCACACACAGTGTATGCAGTGGAGTGGAAGTTCACACCCTGGCTGACCTCGGGGTAACTTATTCACCTTTGCATAACCCAGATTCACTCGCTGAATAAGCATTAGTGTAAGCAAGTGCTTTTCATGCTTTGTTGAATTGAGGACTTAATGCCTTTTTACTGCTATCTTACCCTTGGAGAGTGAATTCTGGGAACTCTGGAGTATTTCTTTCAGTTTGCATAAGAAAGCAGTGGGTGATTTTTGGTTTTGTTCTTTGAGATGTTCTCTGCAGTTGAATTTTAATTTGCACATCCTTGAGATGCCAGAAGGGTGGAAGAAAAGGTTTCTGTGGATGAACCTGAACATTTTAAAGTAGCTATCCCTAAGATTAGTTGCTTGAGAATTTGTTATGTGTATCAGTTGACTGAACAGGAGCTGGAGGAGAATGTGCTCATCCTCAACTACAGGAGGGTTTTAGCTGACTCCATTGAAGAAAAGGCAATGTATTTGGTGTTGCAAATGAAGTGACAAAAGAAAGTTAGAAAAAGAAAAGCCCTCTGTAGAGGTTACTGAATCCTTTCTCTTCACAGTCAGCCAAAAGGAACTGGAGAACTCTGCCATTTGTGGCCTTAGAGAAAAGCTCTAAAAGTAGTGCAGGAAGCAATGATCCTGCTCTGTAATAAAGGCAAACCTTGATAATGGGCTGTATTGTTCAGAGGTGATGAAAAATCTGTTCGTAAATGTTTCTAGGTTTCCAAGGACTCGTGAAAACAGTGTCTCATCTTGGAGCCTTACACTGGGATCCGGCTTTGATTTATTGTATGTTGTCTCTTTAGGAAGATTCTGAAATAAAAAACAGTGCTTTAATTTTAAACTTCCTGCAATGCTACCTCAAGTTCTGGCATGGTCAGAATTAATGCTGGCATTCTTCTGTTGGGCCTGCTTGTATGTTCAGCAGGTTTAATGAAGTGCTCAGTGTTCTGCAGTTCGAGTCACTCTGCTGAAGTGGGTAGGACTTAATGATAGGATTGTAAGCTAGCAGTCTCTTGGATTTCAGTAGTCAGCAGCCAGATGAAAACAGGCAGTCTTCAGTTTGTTTGTGTCTTATCTATGAAGTATTTTAGCCTTGTGACTTCTCAGTCATATTTTACTTACATATATTTCTGTTTCCAGATTGAGATTGGAGGAAAGAAGAAAAGAATTGGTACAGAAACTCGAAGAAACTACAAAATTGACAACTTATTTGCATTCACAACTTAGGAGGTGAGGCTGTACTGCATCGTGTGGAATCTATTTTCAGTAACAGTCTAGTGGACTTGGTTGTCTAAACTTCATTCTCAGGTTTTTCTCTTAGCTGGAGGCTGAACAAGATTTGTTTATTATTTAAAAATAAAACACAAGTACAATAGCTTCAGCCATGTTGCCATCTTGTGAACCTGGCATACATTTCTATTTTCAAAAATTCAAGACTGGATTGAATGGATCTTTTTTTATAGCTTCTATAAATGAGTAGGGATACATTATCTTGCTTCAGTGTAAGTAAATCAGGAATTCTGTAATGGTCAGATTGCAAAATGGTGTCACTGAGGAGAAAAAATTGTTTCTCAGACATCTGTGCAGAAGGAGAACTGTAGCGTGCATAATGACTGGAGAGGCTCAGTGAATAAATGTGTATGTGGACGTATGTAAATACTTGTGAAGAGTTGGTTCTCTTCAACTCTGACTTGTGCTTCCTATAGGCAAAGAAATACCCTCAGCAGGATATTTTCCTGGCAGACATTGTTTCAAAATCTGATTCTGGCTGCACGCAATTCATAATGATAATAAAACAGTAATCAGTGACAGCAACTGTGAACTCAAAATCATTCCTCTGATGGGAATTCTAATATTTAATGACATGTGAAGTTTGTCCTGGGGAAGAATTTCTCCCACTTGTGCACTGTACCTTTGGCTATCAATCTATGTGTCTGTTATATTTATTTTAAAAGTTGTGAATTTGGTCAAACTCCTGCTATGTTAACATAGAAATCAAAATGGGGCTATAGGGGGAATAATATTTTTAAGAATTTTATAAAGATCCCCTTGCAATAAGCCATGCCAACCTATTCATGGCTTAGCTATTTCAGTCATGTCAGCCAAACTGTGTAAGTTGCATCTTGATTGGTGGTTAATTGGTTTAACGTCTATTACTATTTCTTAAAATATATTTTGTGATCTTGTTTGTTCAGACTCAAGTGTCATTTTGTCCTGTTAAAGGCAGTTGTGTAGCCTAGTGGCAAAATTTTTAAAGTTGATAGCTCTGCTGCTGCGTTTAAACGGGGCTGCCTTGAATTATTTTTCCTGACATGTTTTTTCCCAGCAGAGCCCTCCTGAGCCAAGGCAGTGACACTCAGTTTCTCTGGCAGGGCTCCTTGCCTTCACTTTTCATGTTAATAAACATGTAAAGATTGCATGTTCGTGGCCTGTTCATGGTTATAGAACTGGATGCAAAGTAGTTCTGCTGTGAGTTCTCTGCTTCGGAGACCTGCCATTTCTCCCAGGTGCTTGGGCAGAAGGAAAGCTGCGTAAATTGTTCTGGGGTGACAGCAGTGTTCTGCTGTCATAACCTCTCTCCTTTGCAGTGACATTGACTCCATGAGTGCCCAGCCCAGGGTGGAGCAGAGCAGCTGAGAGAGCTGCTATCACTCCCAGACCAGTTTGTTAAGGCTGCAGCCTTCTCTGGAAAAAGGGCTTTGGGAATAGTCCATAAGCTGTTTATATTGTGCTGAGGGTGTGCAGGTTGGGTGCACTGCTTCTAAAACAAATATGCTTGTGTAAAAAGAAAGAAAAACGAAAACAAAAACAAACCCTAAGCAATATTCTATTGTAAGAAATCATTACAGTACAGCTCCCAGTCAATCTTATCTCTCCTTGTGCTGTTTAGTTCAGTAACATCAGTGTATGTCTTTGTTCTTTCTTTGCAGCCTCTCAGCTAGTACGCTGTCTGTGTCATCAGGGAGCAGTCTGGGATCTCTGGCATCCAGCCGGGGATCTCTGAACACATCAAGCAGAGGGTCGCTCAACTCGCTCAGTTCCACGGATCTCTATTATAACCAAGGCGATCAAATAACAGATTTGGACTATCAGTATAAGCTTGACTTCCTATTGCAAGAAAAAAGTGGTTACATTCCTTCAGGGCCTATCACTACTATTCATGAAAATGAAGTGGTCAGTTCCCATGGCAGACTAGGTTACAGTGACTCTCCTTCAGCCACAGACCAGCCCAAGCTGACTGAGCCTCCCAAATCTGTGACATCGCTGTCTTCCAGGTCTTCACTGTCCTCCTTGTCTCCTCCAGGCTCCCCTTTGGTTTTAGAAGCTGCATTTTCTGTCTCTGCTCAAAATTCCCCTCTGCATCACCTCACTACAGACTTTGAAGACTGTGATTTTGCAGGCATCAGTCTCTGTGAGAACCAAATATTATTGGACTCTGAAGCCAGAGCAGGATCTCAGATTCCTACAGACGATAAGGGTCTTCATGAAAGCATTAGACAGCCTTTGTCTTCTCTGCATGAAGGAAGTTCAGGTAATTTGTGAAAAAATCTAATGTGAAAATGTATACATAACACAAAGATTTTGAACAAGCAAATGACTTTCGAGTAGAGAAAGCTCCTGTAACTGAAGTGTAACTCGATGGGCTCAGATTTGCCATTGTGAGCAGTATTTCTGAGGGACACTACATAATTTGCAGCTTTGGGAGAGAGAGCTGCGAGTTCCCTTTTCCATCCACATCAGTTCAATAGCTGTTGCAATTTTTTATCCTCAAAAATGGCAGGAAAAAAAAAAATAAGCTGGATCTTGAAGGCAAGAAGGACGCATGGTGTCCTTAGGTATTGTCAGAACATTTGAGGACAGAGGAAAAATGCCTTGTGCTATTTTTTAGTAACTTGAATTCAGATACTTTGCTTCTTACTGAATAATATGTTACAAGCATGGTTCCTCAGTGGAGATTTCTGGCCTCAACAGTTAGAATTTGTGTGTGTGTGTGTGTGTGTGTGTAGTTATCTGAATCTGCTGTTGCCAAAATATCTGCAGTTCGTTTTGCATGTAAGTTGAGAAAGAGACAAGTTCTCACGTGCCACATAAGTTACAGTGTTGCTGTGCCCATTTTTAACATGGATTTCATAGCTTTTAGCTTTTTACCCATCTGTGAGTTAGAGCAGAGCACCTAAGCTAGTCTGGGTAATTTCCAGAAGGATGAGTCATCCCATCCTAGAATTTGCTTCTCTCTAAGGAAGATGGGATGAATGACACCGTGGGTTATTGAAGTGTTGTTGGTAATTAGGTAACATTAACTTTGAGAGGCCATTAAGGCTGCCAAAATGAGCAATTTTGAAAAGCCAGAAATTAATTAAGCTTCCTGTACCACTAGTTTCCAGAGTAAAATGGGCCTCATGGCGAGGCTTTCAGTATGTTAAGAGTGAGGTACAGAGCTGGGGTTGGTTCAGTGTTTCTACTCTAATTTCTCTCTTGGAACTGCTGCAATGCTGAGTGGAAAGGTTTTCTGCAAACTCAGCCTGAGGCATAAAACCTGCATGGAATATTTCAGCCTGCCATATAGGTTGTACAAGGCTATGAATTCAGATACTACAGAATCTTAATCTGGGGGCAGACAAACATAGCTTAAGTCAGTGCAGCTAGTAATTTCAAGTCATAATCTACCTTGGCTATTTAGACACAGTGCTCACCAACCTGCCTGTCTGTCTCTGACTTTTCTCTATTGGTGAACCATACACACATTTCCTCCTCTGTACATGTCTCTGCTGTCAGAAACCAAGTTGGAATATCATGTAGTTCTTCCACAGTCAGTCTCTGTCGTTGTCAAAGTCAATTCAGGCTGCTGTGGTAATTCCTGAGGGTAATCAATAAATCATGTCATCACCTTCACCCCTCACGTGGTGGGGGGGGAAGGGAAAGAGCACTTCATCATCAAGGAAAAAGCATTCCTACTGCCATAAGTAAAAGCACAAATGCAGCAATCAATCATCTAATCTGAAGCCTTAAATTTTAAACATCTTAACAAGATGTAAAGTCATGATTCAGATGGGGGCCATAATGCATACCAACATCCTCACCCGTCGGCAGATAACAGTACTGCACAGGCCCTCATCTAAGTGAGTTGCAGAACGTGGCTTTCAGTCAGTGCTGCTGCTTTGCTGCCTGAAACTAGTGTATGAATACAGATTGAAGATTAAAGATGAGTAGTAGTTGATAGTAAAGACTCGGTAGAATAAAAAACTTTTTATGATAGAAAACCAGAGGTTATTTTTTGTTTCTAGTAGTTATATCACTAGGGAGAGTGCTTCTGTCTGACTTGTGAATATTTAATAAAAAGTAGGCAATCACTTTGCATGCACCTGAAGTGTTTCTATAGTGTAGAATGTGAACATAGCAAATACAGGTTCACAGGTGAGGATAATGGGAGTTAATAATGAGGATAATGAAGTATAATAACAAGCTCAGCTGATACAGGTGATGATAGAAGCAGGTACTTTGGAATGGACTAACAGTTGTACATTTTCAAGTTCATCAGTTTGGATATATCTCTAGCCAAAATATGTGGAACCGGTAATGCAGTCTCCGAATGTTTAATGATGTGGAACAAAACTACTGTGTGATACTCAGTTAAGGGTCACTGCTTTCAACTTTACAACTTTCTAAGCTATGTACTTCTCTTTTTCTGACTATTAATCTCTCTGACTGATTTTCATTCTTTCTTTTCATAGGTGTTGACTTGCCAAGAAGAGCAGCTAGTCATCTCCTTGCAGAGAAGACAGCTTGTGTATCTGCTGCTGTGTCTGATGAGTCTGTAGCTGGAGATAGTGGTGTATACGAAGCTTCTGTGAAACAGTAGGTTTGAGAATAAGCATTTCCACCAAAAAATTAAATGTTCCTGTAAGCAATTTTATACCATCGGCACAAGGAATTTAGAAATGCTGTATATATTCTGCCATGCGGTGGTACTGGCATTGCTCAGAGTGACCTCTGTTACTGCTTCTTTTATGTAAATGCTATGATGGAATAGCATTTCATTTGAATATTTGCTTCGTTAAAAAAAGTGGATATTGGAAAGATGGGAAGATCCCCGCATGAAATGTTGGTATAAAAATAATCCAGATTTAAGGGTTTTGGGTATAATATTCATCATTTACTGTGGTGAACAGGATACAAGAAGAAACATATTTGCCATCTTTGCTTTCTGACAAGATATGACTTCCATGGAATTCTCCATACTTGCTTATGCAGTGTTTTTACTTTTCTAGGCTGGGGAAGAGTAGACTGGCAAACTGAGAGAGAAGCTAAAAGTTTTATTTTCATTTCCTTTTTGGCACATTCTTGGCACTACAAATTTTTTGTCCTTTTGAGTATTCTGAGGATGCTTACGAAGATGTTGATGCATGTCTTCTATTGACAGGATTAAATGCTTTGTTTTAGGACAGATAAAGGTGCAGTATCACGAATGGGTTTTACTGGCCTTTGATAAAAGTATACCTACTTGTGAAGTCTTTCACAAATTAAAATGCAATAATAACAGATGAGACCAAACACAAAAGCACAGATACAAAAGAGATTGCCCTTTAAGTAGTGAAGCCACTTAAACTTGGTCCTGGCCATCCAGTGGTAGGTGTTCCTACTTGGACCAGGTGACTCCAGAGATGCCTTCCAGCCTCACCCAATCCGTGATTCTGTAAAAACTCAGCCTTCACTTAACTAAATGACTGTGATTGAGTAGTTCAGTTCCCTAACCATAGTTCTCTTTCCACTTCATTTCAATTCAGAGCTACTGTGATCACAACTTACAGTGCACTCTGATTGTAAGCAGAAGTGGACAGAATTGAACAAACATTGGACTAAAAGGCATGGATTTTCTGTGGAACTCTTTAGTTTCATCTCCGGTGACTGGTGGGGTGGGTGGAAAACAACAATTTTTTTCTCTTTTCCCTGTTGATATTCAGACAGAGAGGAAAGGAAACAATTTATCCAGTAAGCCTACGTACAAAAGCAAGCTATAGCTATTTGCACAAGCTAAGATTTACAGACACCAGGTTTTCTGTGATAGCTCCAGGTGTGGATACTTTTAGTTCTCATTGACTTGGAAGCAGTGAAGTGGTAATGAGTGTCTCTGTGCGATCTGCTTATGTTTAGTAGAAGTGTCTTTATGAGCACTCTGTATGGAATAACAATTTGTCAGTGTGCTCTTGAAGCTGCAGTACGGTAATTTCCCACTGCATAGACTAGTCTTTGTGTTGAGTAATTTAAGGAAGGAAGGAAGGGAGAATAAACACACCCTATCATATTAGCCAGCAGCTAGGAAGTGAACAGTAGAAGGAAAACTTAGAATGTGTAGTCTCAAAATAACTCTGTCCTTTCTCAGTAGCTATGGGATATCTGTGACATTCTCCACATGCACTATTTTGACCACTGTTTGTTGATCCCAACAATCTACTTTAAAAATTAATGAAAAACAGTAATAACACATCCTCATTCAAACCTCTCAGAAAACAACTGGAAACTTTTGCCACACTGATTGTCTGTAATTCCATTCTGTACTGGAGTTGCTCTTTAACTACAAGACTTGAGTCTTTTTGGTTCTTTGAATGGTTCTGAAACAAGCTCAGAGGAAAGATGTTTCTTGTTTGCACAGAAACTTCTCTGTTGCACAGAGCTCCTGTTTCTCAAAGGTCCTCCAAGGTAGTTCTTTGTATCTAGTTTATGTGAGGTCTGATATTTATTAGAACTTTGAATTTCCAATTTTGTATTTTGAATAATTAAGAAGTACTAACCAAATATAGAGAAATGTTACCAGTTGCTCTCTTGCCTGTTAGTCTGACCTGTTTTAGTAATCAGCCTAAAGACTCTGACTCATGACTGGATCTGTCAAAATGTTCAGGCAGCAACTATCTTAAAACAGGAATTTCTGTTAGGGAGGCTGTGAAATTCTCATTTGCACTGCTTGCTGCAATTAAATTCAAGAGAATGAACATGCATTCTGTGTGTGGCTACTGCAGTTATTGCTGAAAGCTAAGTATAACATTCCTAACTGTTGCGTATTTGCTTGCTTGCCCTAGTCTAAATGAAACCGAGGACATTGTATACAGTGAAGATGATGCAACAGCACTAGAGTCTGCCCAAGTTCAAATAGGACTCAGGTGAGCAACCAGCAAAGAGAATTTATCTGTTCCTATGTAAATAAATAGTGAACTTTCCTCATATTGTCCTCTCTTTAACAGATATGACCACAGCAATTCAAGTTTTGTGATAATCATAGTCCAGCTCAGAAATCTGCCAGTGTTTTCTGTTCCCCTTGGCTCTAAAGTGTAAGTAGTAATATGAGAATGCAATAATAAATTGAACAAATTCTCCAAAGAAATTGATGATTGGCTGCTTTACAACACTAAAATATGCATAAAACAAACTGTAGAAATATGTAGCTTTTATGGATTCTGGCAAGAAAACAAAGTTACCAGGAAATTTGCACATTACACATTAAAGTTGAATACTTAAAATTTGTGTCAAGGTCTTTTTTTGTTCATTCAAGAACTTGTAGGTTTGACACAGCAAAATGTGAGACGATGGACATATTCACCTTTTTTTCCTGTGCTAAAGTGAAAGTAAGCTCTTCTGTTAAACAAAGCCAGTGTTAACCTAATTTCTTCTGGTATATTTCATCTAAATGTGAATTTTCAATAATACTGACAGTATGTATGAAATCACTACCACAAAATACAGCAACAGTACTAAAAATCTGGGAAGAATAAGATTTTTCCAGAAAGTTTTTTTTTCCAGAATATTTTTCCACTTGTTCTTCACGCTTTAGTTGGCTTCATTGCATTCTGCAATTAGTACGTGTCAATAATATAGAAAGCCAACACCAGAAATGAGTTAATGCGTAGGCACAGACAGGATGCAAAACATCTTGTTAATGTGCTCTGCTATGCGTTTGAGGCCCTGCGCACTAGGGAAATAAAGCTACAAATTACATGAGGAATGTCTTTCATCCATTGAACTACTTGTAAGGGGAGACCTGCAAGCTAGCTGTTACTGTCTTTATTCACACAGTATCCATTCATAGTTGTTAGATACAGAGAATGCAGCTGCATACCAGTTGGAAGATACTTCCGTACTTCTTCAAGCCTTCAAACTGCATTCTTCTAAGTCTCACTTCATGTATTACATGCCTTAAGTAGCTATGGCCCTAGATATCTTCCTTATTTTTCTTAGTTTTCTGTTTTCTTTGGAGTTCTGTTTGGATTTTGAAAAGATTGAAAAACATGCCACTGCTTTCAGTGCTGCTTGCACTGTTTTAAGAGTTTAACTTTATTGGAATTTCTTCTCACTTCGTTTTTAATTGACATTAAGGTTCTTTTTCCTCCTGTCTGTGACACGGTCTTCAGGGTGTTGCAGTACCAAACCAGAGCATAGAGGCAGAAACAGCTACCTCCTTTGCTACTACAGAGGCAGAAATTCATTTTGGGAAATGTTTGTGCAAGGAAAAGATAGGACTTTCTCAGCCCCTTCTCTCTTTCTCACCTCTTTTCCACTCCATTTCTGGTTGGTTGCTGTTTCATTTTCTCATCACGCAGTCCTTTAGACAATGGGGTCGATTTCTATCACTAATCATCAATAAGTGTTAGTTTAAATACAGGTAAAGATTTTCTTTTGTTTTCAACAGGTATATTAGAGTAGCAGTACTTCCATCCTCAGCTGATACCAGCTGTCTGTTCCGCACAAAAGTTCATCCTGCCATGGAAACCATTTTACTCAACGAGATATTCAGAGTTGCCATTTCCCAAGGAACACTGCTACAGAAGACACTGAGAGTAGATGTTTGTGCGGTCAGTCGAAGCCGTCGGGAAGAATGCTTGGTATGCAGTTCTACTTCTGGCTTTTTTTTGTGGCAAGCATTTGTTCATAGTGTCCCTTTGTACTCTGATGCTCAAGGCCACTGAAATTGCACAGCACCTGCTTCAGAATTTTTTCTCTGCATATAGTTGTTGCTTTAATACTCTGGTTTTCTCTGAAATCCTAGATACTCAATTTTATCCTGGATGGATGTTTCAGGAGGTGGCTTGATAATTCTAACACAGCATTACTGTAAGCTTTAATTATAGGCTGGCACTGCAGCTCTGTCGTTTTTGATATTAAAACATTATAGACTTCATTGCAACATTACACCAACAGTAGATTTTAAAGTGAAAGCTGAGAGCCATAGTATGTCTATGTCCAAATAAATCAACACTAACCGTCTTTATCAAAACTTGTCACAAAGAGCAAACTAAATTTAATTTTTGTACACAGTTGTAGAATAAAAGTTCACCTTTTTCATTTTTTATGATCTTTAGAAATAATAAAACAGCATGATACCCATGGACTGGCTTACTAGATAGGCTTTTTTGTACTCCACTGTTAATTGCAGTTATCACCTAATTAGTGACTTTTCATTTACTTTCAAATTGCTTTTGCACTGTCTTATACAAGTCAGTTTAGTTTTTCACCAGAAGTCTGTTGTAGTAGAAAAGTAAGAGTTTTGGTTTAAATGCCCTGAAGAGATGCTAGAATTCTGATGGGACTCTTTAGACCAGACTGCAGGAGTGGCCTCTCACTTTCAAAAATGTAGGAGTTCCTGGGCCATGTGTTGGCCTTTCTCAGTGTGTCTGTGGACTGAATTCATCAGCTTTACTGATGTGAAGAAAACCAAGAGGTTTCCCCTTAGGTAAGAGAAGAGTCACAGAACAAAAATGCAATAGAGTGGAGGATTCAAAGGTGAAGGAGAAAAAAGAAAAAAAGACATAAGGGTTAATCACAAGATCAGAAGAAAGAGTTGGGAATAGCACCTCCGGCAGAAAGCCTGGGCATCACAACCAGTCTTGAAAAGGGCTGCTCGGCTTAGTAGCCATGAGGGTGATTTGCTTTGCCAAGAATGGAGGATTTCAATCTCCAAGAAACACTCCAAGCACACAAGTACTTTGTACGTTTTCCCAAAGGGTTTGTCCAACTGAAAGGGCTTCTTAATCTCTTTTCATCTGCTTCTTCACTGGTTAGAACACCCGAGTCATCCATTACTGTTTTCTGTATTGATGATCTTTGTGGTGGAACAACTGGAAAACTAACAGTAATTGCTGCTCTATGGGTTGACACTGCAGGTTTCACTGGCACAAGTTTTTGTTATTGAAAGCTATAGAAAGCAAATGTGTGCATTACAGAGATAGAGAGGGATTTGTGTTGATGCATGTGGGGAGAAATTCTGCAACCTGAAATAGAGTAGGGCAGATTGGACTTTATGATGGACCTTTCCATGTACTACTTTGGTTATTTTGACTAAGTAGCAGTGAAGGGAAACAGAAAATTGTACAGTTAACAAGAGAATTAAGATCCACGCCAAATCTGTGCTGCTTAATTTACATGATAAATACTGCTGAACTTTTCAGCTGTCTTACCGGAAAAGAACTTCGGACTTTTTCCCTTTATTTTTGTACAGGCTGGAACTCAGATCAGTCTGGCAGATTTATCATTTTCTGATGAGACTTGTGCGCTGTGGTATAACCTTCTGTCTTGCAAGCAAATCCCTGGCAAAAAAAAAAAGGATCAGAATGAGGAACCCATGTTTCTTTTAAGCAAGCAGTCATCAGACTCATTGGACTTGGTGAGTGAAGTATTGCCTGTTACTGTAATAACAAGAAAAAAAACACAGGACCTAATTGTGCCATGGCACTACAATTCTGTATATGCTGTCCTGTTCTGTTTATAGCCTTTTTGTGTGAGTAGCTCTCCTAAGGGGTTGCAAACTTGTTGCTAAGGGTAGGGCCGAAGCTTCTTAGTGGATTACAAAATTGCACTCTAATTCAAAACATTTCTGCTGTTTAATTTTAAAAATAAATGCTACCTAATGGCTTTGTTAAGATTACCATTGACTTGCATATGCATGTACTAAAAATGCTATTTATTGTTTGAATTTGCATACTTAAAAAAGTAATTTCACAGAAAATGCTGTTTATGCAGAATGCATGCTAATTCCTTTAGTTAAATAAACTTTTCTGCTTTAATACTTACTCAAGAGAACAGCATTAAAATGTGACTTTTAAGAAGAACCTGTTTTTAGCTAGGGATGTTACAAGCATGAGAGGAGTTATTATAGGATGACAGGAACACATTTGATTGTATTATCATTAGAGAAACAATCTGGTTTTGACTGAGATTCATCCATTAATGTTCTACATGCTAACAATTCAAACTCACTATTTGTGGTCTAGATCGATTTTTGCTGGTACCAGGGAGCACCATGGTAATAGAGCTCTTGTAAGGGGGTCTTTTTTCCATTTTTTTTCTTTTTTCTTAAACCTGGATTATGTATCACTCAGTTCTGGTTTTGCCTTCTCCTTCCTTGTAAGCAGGATGCTGTGTCAGCTCTGCTGGAGAGAACATCCGCTGAGCTGGAAGCAGTAGAACAAGAGCTGGCTGAAGATGAGGAGGAAGAGGATGAACAGGAGGAAAGGGGCTCTGAGGAAGACTGGTAGAGACATTTTTTCTTTACTATTCATGTCTGAATGATTCTGCTCCTCCCTCTGATTCACAGATAATGAGAGAGCAGTGTGGGGATGGGATTCTTGTTCCCTCATGTGGTTAACTGCTTTACCTTCTCTTAGGTTTACAGTGTCTTGGCTGCCCTATTAGTTCCCAGGCTCCTCCATGTACTTCGTTCCATGAAACGACTTGGGGTGTCTAAGCCACTGGAGGTCTACTAGGATGTCTCTTATCTAACTGTGCTAATAAGTGACTAATAGGGTCTGAGTGGAACTCTTCTGTCTGACAAACTCAGTGTGTAGGTGCTTCCACTGATTATCTTGTTTTTGAAGAAGCTGTGAACTTTTCTCAAAAGGATTTCTTGCTGAATTACTGAATTTTGTTCCAGTGCAATTTTTTAGCTTTATTGTTGGGGAAGGGAGGGACTTGTTTTGTGAATTTGTTACAACCAAAGTCCTTCACTGCTAACAGCGTAGGGCTATACAATATAGTGCAGTGTAATCATCATGATCCTGAAGGAGAACTGTAGTAGAGCTTTCAGGGTTTTATTGGAGCATATAGTAAGTGTGCTTTCACATGAACTTAACGGAAGCATTTCAGTGATAATCATTTCCCCATTAGGAAAATGCATATGTTATACATGAGTGAAGGCCTAGGCCTTCCACTATCTTTCCGTGGTGGGCTTTATCAGCTCAAGAGTAAGCCCAGGCTGCTTTTGTTCATGCAGGTTAGAAATGCTTGCAGAAGCATCTGATGAAATTGGGGATGAAGAGGAAGATGGCATTAAGCTGGCAGTAGAAGGCAACTGTACCGATGACACGGGGTTATTCATTGATGCAGGAGAAACTGAGGAAGATGAGAACAGACAGAACAGAGATGAGGCCCATGAAAGCCAGCAAGCTGCCGTCATACTAACACTGGTGAGCGTTCCTGTGGTGTCTTACTAGGTCTGAAGTCCTGTTTCTGGGTAGTTAATTGAGGAATCAGCCACATCCGAGCATTCACAATTTGGTGTGGCATTTGCTGTAGCACTTGTGTGAACTTTTAGCAAAATTGGCATAGTCACTTTTGAGCTGTGCAGAAGGCATTTAACAGGCATGCTACACAGAACTTGTAAGTCAAAGACAATTAATTAAAAGTGTCAGTCTTCACCTTTTTTTTGTTGCGCGAGGAGACTATGCAAGGTACAGGAGCAGTTCAATAGTTTCAATCTGCACATACTTAAAATATTTCTGCTCATGTTTCATTGCTGCCAATTCTTATTTTTTTATCTGTTGTTTCCCTTCTAATAAACAGAGGCAGAAACAGAACAGGGATCAAGATCTTTAGTGGCGAATTTCCTTATTTCTAATTTCTATTTTTGTGAAATGCAAAATCTGGCTTAGCAGAGGAAGGAAGATTAATTAACAGAAGGCTCCAAAATATGTATTGAACTGCATACTCTTGAACTACCCACGGACTGTACATGTGATGCCTCCATTGGCATGTTCTTGTTAACTGTTTGCCTAAAACTATATTCTACCTTTCGGAGAGGACTTTTAGAAAATATTTCATACAGGTGTGCCTGATATGATAGCACATAATCTAGAAATTAAACTTTTAGAACATATTTCTGCATCTTAATGAAAATGATGTTGCCTAAATAAATTAGTCCTATGGGTTCTATAAAACAGCAAAGACAAAAAGACAAGAATGACAGCTTGTTCCTTCAAGTTTGTAACTATGCAAAAGTTTGACACCTCAGTGGACTTGCTGGAAACTGTAATTAACTTCCAATTAATGTGGAAAGATGCCAAAAAAGCCAAGGCCATGGTATAAAAGGACTGACAGTCTTCTGGGTAGCAGACAAATATAGATCAAAGCTCTAACTCAGCAAGGGGAGACGTCAAGGAGAATGTCTGAAGGTTAGACATGCACATAAGTCTTTTGCAGTGCCAGGGCTGGGTGGACCTGGACAGTAAAGACAAGACACTGCAGACCTGATTATAAACAAGCCACAGTATAGATCATCTTGTGCCAGATCCTCTCAGGGTTGCAGTTGTGCTATGTAGGTCCTTGTATTTATCACCTGCACATTCAAAACCATGAACTTCATTAAATTACCCCAGTTGAAGAAAATGCCCCAGTGCACATCAGTAACATCACATGTGCCAGCTGCTGCACTGCTCGTTCTGTCCCTGCTGTCAAGATGATTGCTGCATGTAAGTACCGACGGCGCCTCCTACAGGGATGTCAGCAACCGAGGCTCCTCGTGACATGTGAGGGACAACTGTACGGGCAGCAGCCCCTTCCTGGGGTAGGAGCTAGTGAAATCAGCCTCTGCCTGATTTCACATGGCTGGTGCAGCTCTGCACATTGCCATGAGGCACTGCTCTGTCAGCCCTCAGCAAATGTACAGAAGAACCCATCCCAGCTGCTGCTTTGTGTGCATAGGCACCATCTCAAGAATGGCCAAACCTTGCTGTTCTACAAATGCAGAACAAATCCAGTATAAATACAAATGCATAATAACTATCTGTGCAAATGGCAAATCAAAATGCTTGTTGTACCCTGGTTGGATCAGAAAATCTGCAGGGCAGCAAAGGCAGAAGCTATGGTTCTAGAGGAGAGAGATTTATTTTCAAAGGCTGCCCAGACTCCCCTAAGTATTTGGGTAGTTTTGTGCTTACTTGCTTGGTGTAGCATGGTGAGCAAGATGATTTTTTGCTACTGATCTTTTTCTGTCTCCTCCAAGGTGACAAGAATGCTTGTAAAATTCAAAGACAAAAAACCTATATAGTGGCATGTGTCCGGGCGTAATAGTTCTTACAAACTGAATTCCTTTTGATAGGTTGATAAAGAGACTAACACTGAGGAATCAGTTAACGAGGATGCAACAGTCCGACCCAAGGACAGAGCCAGCTGGAGCTCAAGACAGCGTCCCTTTGTCAGGAACAGCATGATTGTGCGCTCACAAACCTTCTCGCCAGGCGAGCGGAACCAATACATCTGTAGGGTAAGAGGAAAAACACTTGGCATGAAGAGCTATTAACTAAAGAGTCATTTAACTTCTTGGGAATGATGCATTAATGACAGTGAGTCATGCACCAATTTTCCCCGCAAGAGGCAGAGCCTGTGCTTTCTCTGTGCTTCTTCTTTCCCTAACTGACCTGGTGTGTAGTAGAATTGGCTTTTAGCAAAGTTGCACACTCTTGCAAAACACCTTTATGAGGACAAAAACGCATCCTGTTGGATAAAAGTAACAGATTCCTGTGCTGGCTCCCTGCAGTAAGTGTTTCACTGCACAGAAGCAACTATAGCTCACACACAGCAAAATTATTTGTTAAAACAGAATGGAGTTCTCTGTAATCTGCCATTGCATGAACATATTTTAATAATATAACCATTCAAAGGTAACCGTGTGGAAAGAGCTCAGTCACCAGTAGTAAATCTCACTTTGTTTCTTAACCGGTTTTAAACCTGGACAGCCCAAGTCTTGCTGTAACTATCTCATAGAAAAATGTGTGAGTGCAGCCTTGGGGCTAATTTTAAACATGGCTTTGGCAACAAAATTCTCCAGTCTCTACAGATAGTAGTGTAGAAACTAAATAAATAAATTTAAATTATCAACCCTGTTGCTGCTAACCTAATGGTGAAAATCATGTTTACAGATTTAGGCATGGATTGCCAGCTCTGAATTGTAATTTACTCCCACAAATATGACTTCTTTAAATACCTCCTGCTTTAATTCTTTTCCAGTACAGTTAGAGGTGGTTCCTTATAATTTGGAAATACTAAAATTGGTCACCTCTCTGTGATGATCATTGGCCTAAAAAAAGCTGTAGTCAATATGTAAATACGTAAGTATTCCTATATGTGAATGAAGTGTAGTACTGTACCAATCTTCATGTAGTTTGGATAGATCCCTGTCTGAATTGAGAACCTAATCTTCAGTTTAATTTCTGTACTCTGGAAACTGGTTGTATTGAGGGGGGAAGTAGCCTTAACTTCTGCCTCTGGGTTTTCTACAGGCAGTAGCACTAGATGTTCTGATGGTTGACTTAGCATAAACTCCTGAGGTTTCTGCATCCAGCAAAGTTCTGGGATTTTGTAGCTTTGAAATTTGCCAGAAGTCAGGTTCTGAAATAAGAAAGTTTGGCCAAACACTGTCTTTCTCAACATGTATGGTATGGCCTAGAAGGAAAGTTGCCTGGGAAAAGCCCATGTTTGCAGAAATCAGTCTCTTACAGCTTCAAAAATACTTGTGGTCCACTGTCTGGGCTCAAGAGTGTGCATTGTAGCTGCATCTAAGTCCATGAATAGGGCTGAACAACTCAGCCTTCCTCAGTCCTAGTCTCCACGTGTAATGCAAACATGTCCAGCCTTCCATGTTCTGGTACCAATGGATACGCTCAGGCCATCTGTTCTCATTTCAGAGGAAATTGCTTAGCACTTATATCTCATACGATGTTACAACAAGCAAAAAGTGTGTGGTTTTTTTGAGGCCTAAAGGATGGACTCAAGGCCTGTTTGGGGCCATTAAAAATCTCCCTTGAAAAGTGCTTAAAGAACATCAGTGATTATAATTATCCGAGCATATCCGGGGGTGAGTTCCCAATAGCATTTCCATGGTGGACAGACTTCTCTCTAGAGAGGTGTGCTCATATTGCAAGTGTATTCCATTTCTTACCCCCAACTCCCAGTCAGTTCTGCGTAAGCATGCTTTAGGGCTCTGCCTTTGTTGGTTATGGAAATGTTAATAGAATTAATTCTTTGTATCTCTCCTATTCTGAGGAGGTAAAAATAAATATTCTACAGATGGAAGCTTTTGCTTTCTTTGAAGATTTACCACCATGCATGTTGATGCATCTGACAGTCTGCATTGATTTACATGGAACTAATGCTATAATTAAGAAAACACTGCTGTTGTGCTGTGATGGGTATTTCTGAGAACTTGCAAGTGCTTCTGAAGTTGTAATACAAAAAAAATGTTTGTTGGATGAGTGCATGTCTACAGTAATTTACCTTCCTTTTGGTTGTTTGTTAATGTCTGCCCCAAGTAAATGAAATCCATAGTATAACCTGCAGTCACATAAAAGCCAGCCAGTCGTTTGGTCTTTCTTAATATCCAGTTACCTTCCTTGCATTCCTGAACAGACTACTTCCTATTCATTAAGATCGATGGCTGTCTTGGCCTAGGAATAGAATTTTAGAATAGAGCTGTAGTTGAAAAATGTTTTATTTTATGCTAAGAATTACCTACACTCAGTGTTTTTCAGCACTGAGATTTTCTGACTGGTTTTACCCCATACAGATGTATTTGTATGTGAAGAGGCTTTATATCTCTGTTCATTATGTACGTTTTGACAGTTGAGTCGAAGTGACAGTGACAGCTCAACGCTAGCCAAAAAGTCTCTCTTTGTGAGGAATGCCACAGAAAGGAGGAGCCTAAGAGTCAAACGGGTATGTACTGCATTACCTGAATGATTTAAGACAAATGGGGAAATCAGGAGTAGCAAGTAACTTAAACCACGTGCTTTTTAATGCAAGTTCATGAGCAAAAGCGATGCAAGCACCACACACATCCCCTATAGTCTCAGGTTGGAATCTCAACACGGCGGTCTTTCTCCTCCCTAGAGTCACAGAACTGTCTGAGTTAGAAGGGACCCTTGAAAACCATCTGGTCCAACTAATATGCAATGAACAGGGATGCCTGCAACTCCATCAGGTGCTCAGAGCCCCTCCAGCCTGACCTTGGCAGTCTCCAGGGGCAGGCTGGACCAGGCTCATCTTTGCCCACTGACAAACATCTTTGCCCCAACAAAGGGAACCAAGGCAGCTGAAGCTGCATAAATATGAACACCAGTAGTGTACATGCTGAGCAAGTTTGGGTGGAAATTTCAAGGATTCTGATACGCTTTTGAAGTTGATTTATTCTTATCCAAGAGAGTTTGAATAACAAATGGATTGAAGAAGAAAGAGAGTAAGATCACATTTTTTTTACATAGAATTTGTTATTATAAGTTACGAGGTATATTTTTAATCTCAATCACAAATAAAAATAAATACTCCTGCAGAAGGGTTGTTACCAGGTTGCAGGATTACATTTGATATAAGAAAGAAATTCAGAATATTCTGGGATGACTAGTTATACCCCACTTATTCATGTGAAATGCACAGTGAAAAGATATTAAATAAATGTGCAATACGCTAATGAAGAGCTTGTTGACAGGTTTAAATAATTGCTTGGACTTTGAAAAAGAAAATATTGACTAAAAAAATAATACTGTTTAAATGTGTGGGGAAGTCTTTTGTGTACTTTTGGGCTACTTGCGTAGTTCTATCCTGAGGATCAGAAAAGGGTTTCTTAGTTTTAACTTTGTCATTCTACAAATGACTGGTGAAACTTTTGCACTTATCTGTAGCTACTGGCTAAAGAGTAATTTCAGAATAGATGGATTTTTGGAGTTGGATCTTGAAATTGCAGCATTTTGCTGAAGGAAAACAAAACATAGTCAAGCTTTTCTGACTGTATTATGTCAAATCCTCCACTAGTCTCTCTAGGTACTAATTTTTGTTTTCCTCTTTCCCAAATGATTCAGCCTGTTTGCCAGCCAATCATGCGAAGAGCTACGCAAGAATGCCCTGTGCGCACTTCCCTCGACTTGGAGCTGGACCTCCAGGCATCACGCACACGACAGAATCGACTGAATGATGAGCTTCAGGCCTTGCGGGATCTTAAGCAGAAGCTTGAAGAAATGAAAGGTAGAGGAGAGACAGACCTTCCCCTGTGTGTACTGGAGGATGAACGATTCCAGAAACTCCTGAAACAGGCTGAGAAACAGGTATGAGCAGCATACAGATTTCGTGTGAAGAAAAATACTCTCCTACTTTTTTTTCTTTCTTTTTTTTTTTTTTTTTTTACAAATTTGTTAAAACATTTTTACAGAATCTCACGTTTGACTACTTACACTATGTAATTCAGATATGTAAACACTGTTTCTTTATTAGTCAATATCAAAGTATTTAAACCTAGAATTTGAAATGTTATTTGACTGGTGCCACCTAAACTGCTCTCCCGGCCATATACAAAGTTTCATGGGTATTTTTTGTCCTTCAGCATTGGCTGATTTGCAGTCTTGATACAATTGGTAGCTAAGAGATCTTTGTACCAAGAAGGGAGGGGCACTGGCCATTACTTTCACTGGTGTAGGATTATGGATAAAGCAGTACATCCATCCTGGTGTATTTCCTTATAGAGGATAATGCCTGCAGATGAATACCAAGTTCTGTTCTTCCTGTGCTTTTGTAAAGTCATACAAATACATATTCAGCATCTAAACTAATATAAGCTAAGTCAAGATGCCCTCATGTGGATGAAAGACAAGAAGCAGGATAAGAAGGGATGAGAGATAGTGGTGACAAAGTAGAACATAGGAAATTCTAACTTGATATAAGAAAAAGCTGGATGCTGAGTGGTTTTTGCTTTGGAAGTTTTGGGTTCTTCTTTTATATTGTGAGGGGGATTGTACAATGAAATAAGGGCCCAGAGAGGTTGTGAACAGCAACACAACAACAACAAAAACCAGAAATCAGCCTCCACTAGCTCCACTTTTGGAGATACTGAAACTTAACGGGGGAAGATGCTGAGTATGCAGCTCTGGCTTGATTTGCTCTGAGAAGGACATCAGATCAGAGTCATCACCCTCTGGAGCTCCCATCCTCTCAGTGTTACTCTGTAGACATCAGTACTCAATGAGGAGAGGTTGGCAGCGATCTTCAGGAGGGATCTGTGTTCTTCAGCTGATCATGGTTGATGGATATTAGTGTTTTGATGACACCCACGTTATTCAAAATAGTAAAAAAAGGAAACAGATATTAAGAAGGTGCAAAGGACCTCTTAATATGTAAGCAGCAGTTCAAGTAAAAATAGCAAATATCAGTATGTACGCTTGTGTAGGGCAGAGAAGGGATAATCCTAATATTTACACACAAAAAGGGCTCCTGAATTAGCTGTTAGGAGTGTGATATTACAGATACAAGAAACAGAAATGTCAGCACAAACATCACAGCATTCAGATGTCAAAAAGCATATAAGACATTGGGGATTACAAAGAAAGAAAAGAAAGCTGAAATGAAACAAATAATAATTCTTTAATGACATAAATGCATGTTATGTCTGCAACATAAAGATTGTTTAGTTCTGGTTCCCCATCTCAAAGTAGGTAGTGAGACTGCCAAGGGTGAACAAGTACAGAGAGAGGAAATAGCTTCTATGTTAGGAATGGCCAAGTAGCTACCACTGTAAGATCACAGGTGACAGGGAGGAGGGCAATCATTGCCTTTTTTAATACAGGGAATAGGGAACTGAAGAGGTAACAGGTGGAAATAAAGAAAAAGTTAAGAAACTGTAAAAAAAAAGTTTTGATCAAACATCATGAATGATGCAAATTTGCAAAGTCAAAAAGCAGTGTGATAAATTTGTGGAAAAAAAAATCTAGCAGAGGTTATTAATTGTAGCAATATCACCTACGTCAAGAAATCCTTGACCATCAACTTAGGGAAAAAAGTTTTTTTCTCAGTATGTTCTCAGCTCAGTTCTTGATCAGTGCTATTGTCTCTCTCTCTCCACTCCATATCATTACAGCCTTCCCCTGTGGATCAGATCAACCCTGAGAATGCTATACTCTGCTGTCACTGCTTCCTCTTGGTTTAGCAGAACACAGCAGTCTAGAGAACGTTGTCATAGATTATTTTTTAGATCCTGCAGGCATTATAAGGTCACAGACTAATGCAGCACCTCTAAGTGCCAGGGTAACTGAGAATGTCTCAAGTGAAAAAAGGAACTGCAGGTGTGGGGGATGTTGAAAATCAGGGGCTGCTTGCTAGTACAGTTACTCTGCTTGAAGCCCAATACACAGGCTCCATACCTTCCCTTCTTACCACATTTTTGTAAGTACAGCAAGTACTGTAGGTAATACCTACAGATCAGGAAACAGTAGGTAATGCTGTGCAGCAGAAACATTTACTCATTTGTCTTACATTCTCATACAAGTAAGTTTTTTCAGATACCTGCTGTCCTCTGAAGTACTTCATCTGTGTGCATCTTAAAAGGTTCCTGTGCCTAGCTATAAATATGGTATTTCTTTCCAATACATCTTCAATGTAGTCCTTAATAACACAAAACCGAAACAAACACAACAGCTTTTTGTTAGACTCTTTCATTCTCCTATACAAAAACACACTGAACAAGGCAGGAGTTAGAGTTTCAGCTTAAATTTTGCTAAGCTTTCCTTATTGCTTGTTATCTCATGCTTACATTAAGCACAAATACAGAGATTCCTGTCTATCCAAAGCCAGATTTTTGGCCCATAATGAATGCACGGTCAGAGCATTAGCATGCCTTTCTGTATTTTATGTAGACAGAGGATTGCTTTTATAAATCACTCAAGAAGCATGGTACTACTATAAACCTCATCTTGTATATACCTTCTTATGTGCATTCTCTTAGACAGACTGGGCTGAAGCCAAATCTACCCGATAGCACAGTGAAACTACCAAGTTCTGAGTCCTGCTCCAAGTTTGTGGTAGCTGTGGCAAATGGGAGAAATTACTTCCCCCAGTTCTCCACTTCTCCCTTCTATTGGACGCTGCTGCTCTACACCAGCAGACAATATCTTGCAGCTTTCTGCAGCCTGCCACACTAGTTCAAAATAAGATTGACAGCTGTCTGGCACGTCACAAGTCTGTAGAACCTTGATCCCTCACTGTGTATTGTTAGCACAGACTAATTTCCTGCACATAAAAATTAAAAGTATTAAAAAATTGGAAAGGAGTATGTGTTTCAAACAGCAAGGTGAATGGACAGTTGGTATTTTTTGTTGTTAACCTGAAATGCAGTAATCATAAGAATCTCAGAATCAGAGAATCTTGAAATATTATTCTGTTAGTGCTTTGATGATAAATATTAGCTTGGGAGCTAAGAAAGACATATGGCCACTGACATGCAAAAAATTAATTAATACACTACCAGTTGCAGATTGCAAATGTATGTTTACTAACTAATAGGAAAAACAGTGTTTATAGGTTAATTCCATTTTAAAATCTTTTGCTATTTTGGAGTTGGGACTGAAGTTAACAGCAGTACAGGCTGATTGGAGGTGTTCTAAAATGGCATTCCTTCATACAAACACTGGACTACATTTCAGCAGATACAGGGTGCTGCTATCTGCTGGAAGCAGTTGCCTTGAATACCATGAAACTGACAGTGTGGTGTAATGGTTTTGTATTAGTTGGTTCTGTTGTTTGGGAGCCTACCGGGCTGAATTCAGATCTGGAGACATGAATTCCTACGTTTGAAACCAATTTAGAAGATGGCTGTTTCTGGCTTGGGCATGTGTTTTCATTTGAGGTAACAGAATAGCATTTGAGTCTGCACGCTCAAAGTTAAGCATTAAAAATAAGCCCCCAAGCAACTTCAAGAAATGTTTAAGAACATGAAGTGCTTCTGTTAAGTTTTGACAGCTGACAAAACTGAAGATGCAGTAAATAACCTCTGTGTGACTGTCCCTATAGCCTAGGAGTGAAGGTGAGTGTGCACACGCAAGGTGCCATCAGCCAGCCTTGCATCCCACTCAAAATGAGAGTGATAATGCATGTGTTAAGAAACTTGTCTGCATCTCAACACCAGCCACTTTGTCTAAGACACCCAGATGACTGTCCACTGAAAAGGAGCTGCTCTTCCAATTATTGGGTGTTCAGATACCCTTGGAACATTTAGAAAGCAAAACAAGAAGAAAAAAGCAGCGCTCAATAGCAATTTGTCACCATGCTGTGGATGATACAGCCCTGACGGTGCTGGTGATGTGGCAGTACTCGCTAAAGAAGACTGTAATGGAGGCAGCAGTACTGAGGTGTGGAGACACTGTAACTCGCTTGTGGGCATTCATGTCAAGAAAGATCCGTGATCTCTTGTACCAGACTGTTTTCCTACCTTGGCTTTGATACTGCTGCAGTGCAAAAGAGTTGTTATCCACATGTGAAATCTATGTATTTTAAGCAGCTTAAATGAACCTCTCTGCTAGGACTACCACTTCACTACCATTAAGAGTGAGAAAACACTGATGGCTATCACCAGATCAAGGGAGAAACAAGTCAGCAAGGACCTCTGAGATGGAAATCAGTGTCCATGGAGCCAAAGCACCTCTTGGGAGCTCTCATATTTCACCTGTTTAGTCCAAAGTTCCTGTTGCCTTCAGCTCTTAGTGTTTAGTAAGGGATTCATAGGATAAGAGAAAGGCTATTCCTAATCTGATTTTACAGATGCTAAGATGTATCTTTTGTATTCATAAGGCTATTATCTTGCATCTACATTTCTACCAGTTTGTTTTTATAATTTTTAATCCCTTATTAACATAATAAAGGAAGATAAGTGACTGTATTTCCCATTCGTCCTTGGTTGTATGGTGTTGGAAGTTTTATTTCAGTGGATTTAGCATCAGCTTCACTTGATTTTGGGTTATACCCTCCGTGTCTTCAAAGCATTTTTATTGTAGAAGACGCTGATGTGAAAAATGCATTTCAGAGACAAACAATTATTTTATTGCTTTGTTTCCCCCCCATTCAATGTACAGTAAGCACTGTAGCATTTAAAATATTTTCTTGCATAAACTTACAGAACATCTCTAAGCTGAAGTGCGTACTAACATTAGAGTTGCAGTTGGGTGAAAAGAGCTGGAAAGGATGCATCTTCAGTCCCTCATTTTCTTTCAGACTAGAGCATCCTGGCAGGGCTTTTTTCCATACATTTAAGAAATAGGTTAATATGGTTTTATCACAATTAAAAATGCAAGAGTTCACAAATGCTAACTTTGAAAGGAATGTTATCAAAACTTGAATGTGTATTCTGAGAGATATCTTTTTTTATTATTATTTGTCATTTCAGATTAGGTATAGGCAACTTTTTAAACAACTTTCTGAAGAGCTTGCTTTAGGAAAGTAAACTATTTTATGGGGGAATTACTGTCTCCCAGTATTAAAAAGACGTTTTGTTTGTATTCGTTTAGGTACTAACTTAAGTGATAAGAAATATGTCTTAAACCACACAGTGCATAGTAGCCTCCTGTGATTGGCATGGTTTGTTCCATGTATTTTTTATTTCTCAGAAAACGCTTTGTTATCTTATTTAGTGCCCGCTGCTTAGGCTTGTGATACCAATTCTCTCTTGTGTAGACATTTGCTTGACGCAAGAAGTTGTCGTTTCTGTGAAATAAGCAGTTGCTCATTACTAGCAAAATATAGTTATTTTACAGTTATTTTACAGGCTGAGCAGTCAAAAGAAGAGCAGAAGCGAGGCTTAAGTGCTGAGAAACTGATGAGGAAAGCTTCGAAGGATGTATGCCGGCTACGGGAGCAGAGTCAGAAAGTGCCACTACAGGTGCAATCATTCAGGTAGGGCCTGTTAAGGCTTTTTTATGTTCTTTTTAGTGTAGTTAAGTAACATGAATTTTTCTAAACATAATCAAACATGCACACTTTTGAGTTTCAAGAAACATCACGCATTTCAGAGGACTGGGTAATTTGCTCACATGACAAAGGCAGCAGTGTGTCTCTGAGCAGTGGTGATGGTGAGGAAGCAGGGTGAAGAACTTCAGACCACTGTGGGCTGCTTGTGCGTGCCTGCTGTCAAGGCTCTGATGACCCACAGGTCAACAGCGGGCTTTCAGGTTTCAGAGGTGCATACTGGCTTATGACAAGTGAGAATGCCACATGGATTGCTTCATTTACCTTCTGCTGTTCCTGTGATCAAAAGGAGGAGGGAAATGCAGATCTCCCAAATAAACGAGCCAGGCAAAAGTACTGATTAATCAGTTTCCAGAGCAGATGCATACTGTTCCACTTTTCTTTTAGAGGACATTTGTTTCAGGCACCGGGCATCATCAGAAAAGATACTAATCCTTCCCCTGAAGGAAGGGTGTAGTAAAACTCTGTCCTCATCTATCATCTGATCACCACAGCATTAGCCAGGGAATCCAGTTTATGAAGTTGATTTTTACTCTGTGCTACTGTTTTCAAACAGAATTGAAGCTCAGCCAGGGAAAAACATGGTTTAGTCTGTTGGACAAACAGTCATCTCCTTTGGCCAATTTGTACTCAACCTGTTAGTTGGGCTTGGTATAACGATGTGGCCTCAAAGACAAATCACACACAAAGGCATTTCGAAGCTCTTAAGAAGAATATCTCTTCTGAGTTTTGATTTGTAAGCCCCCAGTATTTATCGTCTGCTTCTGGCAGAGAGGCACATATGAACTTGTTATGCTCCAGTAATGTCTCAGTTCAAGGAGACAAATGGTAACAGCGCAGTGGAAGCAACTGCAGAATGGGATGGTAATTCTGCTTCTTGCCCAGACCTAATTTTTAAGTTCTCTTTTTCTGTTTCCAAATTCAGGATCAAATGTTTTGTTTGTGTCTCCCCCGGAATATCGTGACAGAAAGTGCAGCCGTTAGAGCAATATTTCAGTTGTGTCACTGTAGTTATTACCAAAACATTGGCTTTTGGAGCTGCTTTTTATATGAATGCGCTTAAGAAGGAATTGATATCAGAATGCCCTTGCAACCACAGTTGTAAATAAATTCAGTGTATTTTCCAAACCTATATTTTAAAAGACCATGCTGTAACATTAGCAACTCTACAGTAGATGACATTAGTCGTGCCATAAATGGTGAAACACTAACTTGTTTTGTTTGGTAATTTCAGGGAGAAGATAGCATATTTCACAAGAGCAAAGATCAGTATACCAGCCCTTCCAGCTGATGATGTATAATCGTGCATATTCATTCAAATGTTTTTCCCATTGCCCATTTTTTTTTTTTCAGATGAACTTTGTATTTCTAGTGACCTGCTTTTACAGCTCTTCTATTTTACATTCAATATTGATACGTTTATTTGTAAAATACAGCACATAGAATTGTTGTACGTCTAAAAAAATGACAAAAAAAAAAAAAAAGGAAAACCAAAGTAGATCAATTTTGGTATACTGATGCTGATTTTGTACAGTTTGTATGTATTGCATGTGTTTTTATTTTGTAAAGATGGAACAAAGGAACAAAGGCAGTACTGAGCGTGTATCCTGTTGAACCGCACTGTATTGAGAAATATTACGTTCAACAGAAGATTGTTTATCTTTTCACTATTTTCATGTGAGCAGACTGTGAAGATGGCTGTTTTGCCATGCAATATTTTTGTATAAGAGTGTGACTTTTGTAGTTTGAAGTTAACTACAAGTGTAAGTTTCTTTCCAAAACATCAAGGCTGCCTCACAACAGCTGCTAATTAGATTCATCACCCATATTGGAGTTTTTGTTTCTGAAAAAAAATTTCTTCTGTTCTTGTTCTGTAATACTGTGTAGGGAGAGACAAAACTCAATTCTGTGAATGTACAGTACTTTAACCTGCACTAAAAGGTTTCTTGCATCTGTGGGAGAGTGGGGAAAGACAAGGCAGACAAGCAACCCTAAAAACTTCCTGTGAGACTAGTGAAAGGGCAGCTGCTTTCTGAACTGGACGCTGAATCAAATTGGTAATACCAACAGTGAAATCAGAATAGTTATATCTACTGTACACTTAGGATGAGTTTCTCTGTATCAGTCTTCTGTCCTAGAGGCTGCCTTATTGCCAGCTAAGAGAATATGAAAGTGTTCATTAGGTTTACAGTTATGAAGAGGATTTTATGAAAGTATTTGTACCAGGGGAAAAGTTTGTCCCCAGTAACTTGGATATCAGAAGCTTGTTGAAGTAAACTCTGTCTGGAAAAGTAAAGATCCTGACTAGAAGGCACCATGTATCTCAATACAATCACGTTATCCACGTATGCATGGCCTTAATGTCTCAAAAGAGTTATAATTGGTGAGAAAATGGAAGTGAATATAACTAACGTTATGGTAGCAGCTGTCTGAAATTCACAGTGACAATTCTGTGATGAGAGATCTGTGTAAGATCTGTGTAAGCCTTCCCCAAGGGCTTTCTTATGCACAAATACATCAGTTCACTTAAACATATAGCCAGATGTGCTGTTTGGGGCAAGATGCTGGTTAAACATCATTTAAGAATGCCTCACTTGTTTTTTCTTGGTTGGGTTTGAGATATTTTGAGATATATTTGAAAGGTCAATTAAAAAAAAAAATCTGGAATTATTTAATGTAGAGGTGAAATGAAGGTAACAGTTTCAACTTCTCAATTTGATTATATGTTTGTAGAATGATGTTTAGAGATGTACTCTGTGATTTTTCTTTTATTTATTTACAGTCTTATTTATGTTGTGTTTAATATAGTTCAGTTCTGGCCATAAAAATATTTCACATGTGATGCTATTGTGAAAAGTATTTAGAGCTGTCTGAATTCTTGCCAGATAAGCTGTTTTTCCTCACGTGTTGAATAATTTTCAAAAAAGTATTATCATATATTTGTAAGCATGGAGTAAGGTCAAAATTTAAGGATTGTTGGCCTTAGCTCACAAAACTCATTGCAAAATGTGTCTTGTTTTCCAAATTGGTAAAGTTAAATATATTTTTAGGCAGCTTTTAACAATTCTGCTTTTTTTTTTTTAAATAAATTTAAATTATTCGACCTCAAAACACTGAATAGAATAAGCTAACACATACAAATAATCCTGTCAGTTTACAATTATAGATATTACTCAAAGTAGAATTTACTCTGCACAGCAGAGTGTAACAAATGCAATTAGTTCTGTTTCCAGGTACCACTATCACTGCGGTTGCAGATATCAAAATTAAACATTACTGGTACAAGAATATTTAACCAAATGAGCAAAGGTTAGAAAAAAATTGTAATAGAAGGCAAATCAAATAAGATTTTTTTAAAAAATATTGCTATGTTTGTGCTGTATTAAATATCAAATGCTCAGGACTGAACTAAATATTTAATCAGGTTATATGCTGAATGTGGTTCTGTTCTAATTTTGTCTGTAAAAGTATGCAAATACATCACGTAGATTAACTTGTCTCTGCACTTTCCATGTGTTTCAATGATTGGAAAATACATTTTTTTTTTAACAAAGTTTGTTTCCAGACCAGTGTTTTATTCAATTGTTATTGCTGTTCTACATCTCTGTAGCAGCCATCTGTTGCTACAAAGTGCATATAGATTTGTCAATGTGAACTGTTTGCGATTTATAGAAAGTTCACATCAATCACTGACAAGTCTTAGGATAAGTTATAAAGAAAATGATGCGTACGCTTGAAGTTAATTCTTTGCATTCATTAAAGAAAAGCTGCAATAGCAATGAGTGCTTTCCAGCAGACAGCATCTTGTTACTGTTCAGAAATGCTCGCTTTCCAGAGAGCGTGTGGTGGTGCTGGGATATATTCAGTCACACACACGCACACGCGATGAAGAACACTGCGTGACACTGAGAAACAGTTAGTTTAGACTAGTGCAAATGAATAAAGGTCCATGGAATTTAATTTAAGGTTATGTTGAACTGGCACTGCAAACCCCTTCAGAACTTCAAGGCTTCTGCTGTTTAAAAGTGTTAGGTCTCCATGCATCCATCACAATTTTTTTACTCATTTAACATGAAAAAACAACACCAACACAGTCAAGCAAATAAGCATAAAAACACCACAAAGAACACTGCAACTGATCGGATTTTGGAGAAAAACAATGGTGACTTATATTGATGAGCTATGACAATCTAATTAAAATTGAAAGTAAGTAGAAATGAAAGGAACTGTACTGTAATAATCCCTCCCCCCAGTCTTGTAAACAGTAGCCAGTCTGTTCATTTTCTTACTGTAACGCAAGAGTAAGAAAACCAAAAAGCTAGCATGTACCCTCGTTAAAGTCTTCTGTTTCCAGTCTCCACCTGTTGACGGTTGTCTTGCATATCTGCCATTGCATACTGTTCTGGTAACTGATGGTCAGATGATAAGAAGATCGTCAAGAGGAGTAGAGAGCCTCCTAGAATTATAAAAAAGCCACCAAACCAACCAGTGAAGAGTGCATCCCCTATTTCCCATCTGGGCACAATCTCTGGGATCACTTCATCCCAAAATTCCTGGATTATCGTACAGGCAACCCAGGAAACAGGAACTAAGACCAGAACTCCAGCTATCCACATGAGTATTCCTCCAAGTAGTAACAGCTGTTTCTTTAGCTTCTGCTCTGTATCCTCTATCTTTAGGCAGTCCAAACCAAGGCTAGAGATGACAAGGCTCAGAAGTCCCAGTCCGTTTGATGTACATACTAAAATCCTGGAAATCCTGAATTCTATGGGTAAAGCTAGGAACGAATCAAAGTCTTTACACTGTGTTCCTCCTATGTCTTGGACTACACAAGTTTGCCAGAGTCCCATAGTCCAAAACTCCAGTTCATTTAAGTCTAAGCCGAGGTTTTTCCAGTCTGGTAAATAGTTACAGGTACCAGTTAAAATCCATCCTATTACAGACAGCAGCAATCCAAATAACTGTAGCCTGTGCCTGTGGGCCAAGTCCATTTTTAGCAGTCAAAGTAGCACTAAACTGATGGCTTTTGAAAACAGTATTCTGCGCATACTGAACGCTGGCAAATGTTAAAACAAAGCTTTATAATGTATGAAACACTCCTCCCCCTCCAGCTTTATGTTCCCTGGTTCCATGGGCAGCATTTAGGGGATAAGGAAATAGTGCGGTAAACCACAAATTGAAGGGTGTGACCACAGCTGGGTTCACCTTTCATTTGTATGAGTTGGTTAATTATTTGGTTTTTAGTTACATACTTTGCTTTTCATCTACCTGCTAGAGCACTGAAACATTTCTGCAAATTTTGGCATCTCTTAGTTTCTTATTAAAATAAGAACCACAAATACAGAGTTCTTCAATATGACATCGATACATTCCTACTTAAATAGGCTGTCCTCACTCTGGCCAGTTAAATATCATCTACCTAAAGGTTCTGTATTAAACATGTTTTGCTGCAGGTGAATGGAGCCCAAGAAGCCTTTGATAGAATGCATAAAATCTCAGTACCTGCATCAGAACAAGAGGATAAGTGTTTTTTGTCTCTGAGCCTATTTTTGGTGCGAGTTTGCAGATGCCAAAATGCCCAGAATGACTTGCATGAGCAGTTTTATGTGCTAGGTTGAGATCGCAAACACAACTTCTTGGGTACAAAGCACCGCATCATAATATCCCATGCACAAAAAGACATCTGCAAATCGTGGTAGCATTTCAGAAATCTGCAGTTTGCTTAGCACAATTTGCTTGTCCACAAAAAACAAACTGAGGCAATGCATGCATGCAGAGCATTAAGGATGTGGAAAAAAGTTCCTACGTCACTACATTAGGCAAGTGGAAAATTGCGACAGGGAATCAAGCTTTGAGGCTCAGTTAGTTGATTTCATACGAAAAGGAAGCTTATTTTGGTTGAAAGCCAAATTGCCACGGTACATGCATATTCATTTTCAGAATTTACCATGCAGTTGAGAAACAAAAACACCTTTTCTACATAGTCTATGAAAAAATAAAATTCTCCTGTGAAACATTTTAAATAGTTCTGCAGATGAGAAAATACACCAGTTTCAGATACCAGTTATGGAGAAAACAGAAGTTTAGGAAACCAGCTAAGAAACAAAGAGTCCTTTGAATTGCTACTGGAACAAGCTGCTGGCTTGCACTAGAGTTTGGAAAAGATAGGGCAGTCTTTCTGTCTACTTAAAGCCTTTGGTTTTAAGGCCTAGTTTCAGTTTCCAAGTGTTGACACTGATCTTGCTGTTCTGTTACTGCATAATGGACCGAAGATGGATGGAGTTCAGTTGAGCAGATTGTACAGTTAAGTAGGGATCCTCCTAGTATAAGACAAAATCCAGCAAGCCAGCCAACAAATAATGCTTCCCCCAAATCCCACCTGGGAACAATGTCTGGTATATTCTCATCCCAAAATTCCTGGACTGTGGAGTGGGCAACCCAAGAAACTGGGGCAATAGCTGTAATCCCCGACATCCAGAACAGCATTCCTCCAAACAGCAACAGTCGTTTCTTGTGATCCTGTTGTCTTCCACCAATTTTCAAACAGTCCAACCCAAATCCTGAGAACAAGAGGCCCAACAGCCCCAGTCCATTGGAAAAAAACATCAAAATCCTAGAAATCCTGAGTTCTAGAGGCAAAGCTAAGAAAGAATCAAAGTCCTTGCATTGCATTCCCCCTTCTTCTTGGACAACACAAGCTTGCCAGAGTCCCATGGTCCAGATCTCCAGTTCATTCAGTTCCAAGTTAAGATTTTTCCACTGAGGTAAATAGGTAGTGAGACAGGATAGGACCCATCCCAACAGAGATAATAATATGCCACTTAATTGCACCACTGGTCGATAAACCAAGGCCATTGTAAGAGTAGTCCTAAAAGCTTGTGGAAGAAGGTCGCCCCAGCGGTTCTCTAACAACTGCTGTCTCGAGTGGTGGTGGAAGCTATGATGATTTTAGTTCTCTGCGGCCCCAAATATAAGCCCTTGCTATTAACCCTTTGTGAGCTCTCAAACACTTTTTTGTTCTTCACAAAGATAATGTTTCACATAAAGGACGAAGAACTTCACTAAACCATGAGTTAGTCTTTCCGATAAGGATTTGATCTGTTACCTTCCAATTTGCTTGGTAAAATTATATCCCAATGCCTGATGATTACAAGCCTGAGGATGAACAAAGAAGGCTCTATGACCCCTCACCCTAAAATACAACAGAAATCTTTGTGCTTCGATACGGATTAATTAGATTTTAAGTGGTGATAAAAAGTCAGCTCTGCGCGCAACAGGACTTCATTGTAATAGCTAAATTTGAGATTTCAGGGATGTAAATCAAGGCCTTGTAAAGAAAGGTAGACTGTTTGCCTATAATCTTTATTCTTAGGCTTCCTCAACATACATAACGGCTTATCTTCCACTGCTCTGTTTTAAGTCCCAGCACTGTAAAAGACACTCTGTAAAAGATCCTTACGTTTCACATTTTCTACATTCATTTCTGTTAAAATGGGCTTTGTTTTGACTGACTCTTAAGGGGAAAAGGAGACGGGTATGGTCAAAGCGCCATAGAGAATGAAATCCTAGACATCCCTCTACCATAATGAACTCAGGCAGATCACCAGATGGTGTAAGCTGTACCTGCCTCAGGACTTCAGCAATACCACAGTAGCAGCTTACACCAGCCCAGTGTCCCCTTTCCTAGAACCCATGTCCCAGATGGCACAGAGCGTACACTCCGTGTCTGTCTTTTGGCACTCAGTGCTCCAAGGGCCAGGGGATGTCTGGTGCTTTTCTGATCAAAGCAAGATATCGCTATGCCATTATCCTGCTAGCAAACCCTGCTTTTTCCTGCGGTCATGACAGCTATTCTTGTGCTTGTCTACTGGGTCAGCAGCAATTAGACCTGCCTGCTATTGCCCCTGCACATGTCACAGCACAGCCTGTATGGGAGAAAGCTGAGCAGTGTAAACGCATGTATGTGTGTACAACCCAAAGGTTCTATCTGGTCTTGCCTTCAGTTGCTGGATGTGACAATGTACCAAATCAGAGAAATTTGTGTATTTTAATTTGTAGTTGTTCAAAATAAGGCATGGTGATAGAAGAGCTTAACACCGCTTTTGAAGTTTTCCAAAATCCTGAAAGGTATCAGTAAGAAACTTAACCGTGAAGAAAGTCTCCTCTTCCTCATTTTTGCATTATTCTGTGTCAATTTCTAACCTTTGCAATTTTACTGCCACAAGCTGTGAGGAGCCAACACAAAGACAGACAATATATTTCCCCTTAGCTTGAGTACCAGCCCAGCCATATGACTTATACCTGGTAAAAAAAATTGCCATGTGCGAGAGTAGGAATCACTGAGGACATTACTGACAACATGGGGAACAAATTGATGCAAGCGAGGCTCTACTTTTGGCCACCCACCAGGCATAAGGAATAAAAAAACCCCAAAACATCGCATTCATTCAGACTCCAGATTGCACTTTTAGATTTGGCAATGTGGTTTCTCTCCCCCATTTTGCGTTCAGAGCAAGAAAACTAGTTTCTGGAAACCATCATGACATTCAATGAGTAACTCCATAATGCCATTTGAATAATTTTTCAGATAAACAACTGCTCTTCAGGAGTGCTTCTGCTCATTCAGGAGCTACATGCTTATTTGACTTTTAAATCACGGTTACTGCCAATTACTGGCAGCCAGTCATGCTTCCCTTGCCTATGAACCTTTAACATTTTCTTCCCTGCTGTTAATTCCAACTGTCAATACAGTGTAAAAGCACAACATCGGGCACATGAAGTCCATTCATTCTGCTAATGTTGACCAGCAGCAGAAGTATGCCAGCCTTCACATTTTCACAGTCAGAAGCACTGAGACTGCAGCACCAGTAAGATCTGCCAATTCAGCTCTGCAATTTACTGTTAACCACACAGCAACTTAGAGCAAGCAAAAGCTTCCTTATACTACTCTGTGCAAGATTATAAAAGAATCCCTTTGTAAAAAAAGATAGGTAAGACTTGCTTTGTTGCCAGGGTAGTAACAAGGGCTGAAATGCCTCAACTTGAAACTTGCTCAGTAAGCCCATAAGCAAACAGAACTTGTAGCTGAACCAAGATTATGTAAATTCTCCTATCTTCTTTTCCACTTTTCCTCTCTACCGTTACTTATTTATTTCTCTCACATGTAGAAAATGCCACATTCTCTGAAGGATTTTATTTTGGTCAACTTGTGCCTGTGCAGAAGGTAACATCCCAGAGCTACTGCAAATCCTAGAGGTTAAAACTGGGGAATGCACAGCAGCCACACCACAAGCACCACGTTGATCTGCATCCCAGCTCTGCTCAGCACCAGCTGAATGACCGTCTCTGTCACTGAGTGCAGAACTCCCTTCAGTGTCTGCCCTACAATTCAGGGTAATTTGAAACATAAACTCTGCGCACTATGATGTAGGAATGACAGTCCCACGTAGCCCAGAACACTGATAGCTGCAGTGGCTCATTCAACACAATGGAGATGGCCACTGCTGTCAGCCAGCAGGGCAGGACCACCCACTGGGCACCCGCAGCTGGTGCCAAGAGCGAGCACGGGAGGGCTGTTCCTGGACAGGCCTGCCCCTCCTCCTACCCCTGCTCCCCTTGCCAGCAGCTGTAGCAGGACCCTTTGTGACCGACACAACCTCGCCCAGATGGAAAGTACAAGTAGGTACAGCTACTAGTGAACAGGGTGCATTCAGAAAGGGAAGATGAATTTGATTTGTTTTTTGAGTATCCTTTTTTTTCTATGGATTTCACAAAAAGCCTGATGTAAGCGACATTCAGGGATATCACCCTACAATTCTTACGTGGCTGAAATGATCTCTGTGTGGAAATCTGATCTGCAGAGAACAGATTTCTGGTCCCCTCAACAGCGCCTGTCTCGTGCAGGAACCAGCAGACTCTCTGTAGCATCGCACCCCCCACAGCCAGGCACATGCCATAGACACCCAGGCTGGGCGCTTTAGCTGTGCTGCTGTTGCCATTTGACTCTTTCAGCAGTCAGTTCTGTCAGACATTAAGCTTTCCTATGTCTCCTTACAGCCAATGCCCATGAACACACAGCACAGGACACAACTGGATCCCTGTAATTTCTGTAACAGTTTTAAGTGCCAGAGATTAAACCATTCTTCTAACCAGTTCCAAGCGTAGCCTAAACTAAATGTTCACTAATCTAAAGCAGAATGGGGGTAATCAGCATGCATATCATTTTATGCAGGTGAGTGCATTACGTTATTTTCCTTCCGTTTCACATTTTCAGGCTGAAGACAAGGATTCCGAATCATATTGCAAATATATATATATTTTTTAAAAAGCTTCAGAACTACCCTAACTCTTCTGAGAACCTCATGGCCAGAAAAAGATACTCTAATACCTTAATGCTTGAAAAGAGCATTAGGAAGTTATTGAGATTATTAGGAAGTTATTAAGTTATTTACAGAGCTCTGCAGCCCACACAGTTAACCAAATATTTTATGTTCAGCATAAGTGGAAAGAAACATCAGGTGCAGCACTTCAGGAGTAGACTGATTAGAAATTTAATCCCACAAAATCTGCCTGTGTACTACTGTAAGACAATGACTCTTTCCTACACTTTCAGTTCCTATGTAAGACATAAGCATGTTCATACTGAAGGTTTGTTTATTCTCCTCCAGCAGCTCAAAATCGTGCTCATCTCTGAAGGATAGGTGTCTCCACTCGTGTTCTGCAGACATTATCATCATTTTTGCTAATTCTGAAGATTGAAAAAAGGGAAATCAAGTTCCCTAAGTATTTTCTGAGGCATATTTAAAAATCGAGTATTTTCACGAATCATTTATGCCTGTCTCTTATCTTTGGATTTCCACCCTGTAAATTCATATGCAAAAGATAGAAACAATAACAGGTGTGTTAATTTTTAACTGAATCTTATATAAGCCAGCAAAAAAGCAGCTAGTGCCAGAAGACACAAGGTAGTGTCTTCAGCATCTTCATACAAATGAGTTAGTTTATTCTGTTTGGCAGTCTTGTGTCTTTCACTTTATTACTTGAACAGGATGCTGTGGGAATTAGAATCTTCTTACCTACTTCTTACCCTGACTACTTCCTATTTATCTGTGGCAGTGGAACGTCTTTCACTTGCACATTTCCAGTGTGCCCTGCCATGAAATAAACATCTAGCATGTGGACTTACTCTACTCTACATATGAGTGAAATTTGGCACTAGGGCCATAAATACTTATTCATGTTGATGGGTCTTCAAATTTCAGAGTGTTTCAGAGAGCATCCCAGTAGGAAGAGAAAACTGAATAATTACCTACTTGCCTCGAAATACTGACAGTCATTGGCTTAGTAACAGTGTGATAGTGGCTGTATGAGGGCCTGCTAGCAAAACAGATGGACCTGGATTTTATTAATTACCAAATTGTTATTATTCTCCTTTAAAAGTAATAATACTAAAAAAAATTTTAAAAACCTTCCAAATTGTGTCCATCACTGAAATCACACCACCAAGTCAGACACACCCTGAAACAGAAAATCCAGCGCACAAACAGCATTGGTCGCTCACACCCATCTGAACCTGAATGTCCACAGCAGCAGCACTTAATTTTGAGCACTTAAAAGCCATCAGACAAGCAGTGAAATAACCAAAGCAGAGAGGGGGTAGTTTCCATTTTGGAAGAGGAAGAGAAGCTAAATTTTATACTCACAGGTGACTAGCAGTGTCATTTCATAAAACATCTAACTCAATATTAATAAGCATTGATTTATGAGGTTACATTATTTCTTTCAATCTTACATCTGAAGAGCGCCCCTAAGCAATTGCTAGGATGCTGCTGGAGCACAGAGGTTTTACACCATTGCTGCACAGGGTTGGCACACGGAGCACAAGACTGGGCTGAGGGCAGCAACAGAAGGTGAGGACTCAGCAAAAACCTGCCACCTCAGCATCTTTGGAAAAGCCAGGAAGGAGCTACAGAACCTATCCTGGAGAAAAGGGACAGCCATTGAAGGCCTTTCTGAAGAGGACCTCACTCCTCCTGAAGGTATATTCCCAGATTTTCAGTACTGCATGGGCAGCCCAGCTCTGCATTTCTTCCCTGTTCAAACATTGCATGTAATGAATTAAGTACCTTTAACATGAGCCTATTAGATATGCAAAAGCACTGTTAAGAGTTTCACTTTTGTAAGATTAGTCAAAACCTTGAAATAAGAAATCATGCAGGATAAATGGCAGTTGGACAAGATCTAGAAGAGAAAGGAACTGAAAGAGTTAAGCACAGCAAGGCGAAACTGCCTTTCTCTGCTTGAGGAACTTATTCAAAGGGTTGAAATGAGAGAGGTTAGATTTGCCATCATTATACTGGAAGAATAAAGAATGCTTTAAGGCTCCGTACTTCAACCTTTGCAGAAACTTTTCCATCACCATCCCAATTCAAACTTCAAAGTGAGGGCTGACTGAGTTAGAAAATTAGCTTTATTCTTCAGGGAACTATTTTTGATGTACTGTCAATACAGGAGATTACTGCAAGTATGAAAATTCATGTCACTTGAACAGTGATTTGAATGTGATTTCCTTGAATGATGGAAGTCTAAGAAATTAATTTCTGAGCTGTAAAATATATAAGGCTTCTTTATCATTATCCATCTCTTACTATGAGACTCCAGTTTAGTAGGCTGTTACATACATGTATTTCAACTATGCTCTTCATCTAACACCTGCAAACATTTATTATAATAAGCTTTCTCTCATTCCTCAAGAACTGTTTCTTATTATCAGTAAACTTTCAAAAAATTATTTGTAGCTCTCAGTAGAACCTGCATTGGAAATTGTTATTGCATGGCAGCAGGGATTGCAAAGATAATATGGACTTGTTAACCATAAATTAGAAGACTGAACATACCTTTTAAATCAGGCTAGCCTGGGTGTGAAATGAGCCATGAGAATGTCTGACAAGTGAAAGAACTGAGGGGCACCTGTGGCATTTTTCTCATCTGCCATAACTGAGATCTGGGGGGATGGGAGAGAAGAATGAACAAATTTACTGTGGTAGTTTGAAATACGGTTATTTTTCATCAGATTGTCATGAGTTAAATTGTTTTTTATTTTTAAAGGTGCAGGGAGCTAGAAGATGCAAAAAGGGAATGCCTCTCATAGCAAGCAACTACTCTCTCTAACGCTGCAGAGCATTTTGCTACAAAAACAAGCTTTTCCTCTCCTGCAAATGAAACCTTAATAAGTTTACAGTTTAAAGAGTTCATGACATCCTGCCATTAACAAACTAAACCACTGATGTTTATAAGTATTACTGAAAACTTAGCTATCCACCTCTTACTGGTATCTCCTGATATCTTCATCCCTGTCCCTTCCCTCTGCTCCCTCTCACCTTCCGCACTCTATTCAAAAAAAAAAAAAAAAAAAAAAAAAAAAGGAAAACCAAAAACAAAGTCTCTGTCTATCCTTGTTCTTTTAGGAGGACAGTGAGAAAAGAGAAAAAGGAGTCAAAGAGGCACTTCAGTGGCTACAAGGCAGGATGATCTCACTGAAGAAGAGATGAGTGCAGAGAGGAAGGAGCAAGATCGATTTTCTCCCTTCGCTTGTCCCTGGCTTCCCACCAACTGCTGCTACTCAACAACATACAAAGATGCCAAACACTGCCTGCAGAAGTGAAAAGGATGATGGAGATGATGGAGAGAATCCACTAAAATATATAACAGATGATATATTGCAAAACACGGTATAGCTGAGACAGGTGAGACTGCAGGAGTTCTGATTAATTCTGCCTCAGCAGATTCAGATAATGCCTGACTGTGTTCCATAGCAACCCAGAGAGAGAACTGCTGAAGACTTCTAATACTACGCCTATGCCATAATTATTTTCATTTCAACCAAGGGATGATCACTACACGTCCTGTAAAATTATCACACGCTTTCTAAATGTCACTTGCAGAGAGGTGAAATCTACCCCTGTACCACAGATTCAAACATTTAAACAGAGAACACCCCACCAGAAATTAAAGACATTGAAGAGGCTTAGGTTCTGACTGCGAAAAAGCAATTGTGAAGGTGATTACGATCGGTATTTCCCAACGTAAAGAAAACTTGTGTTCCCTTGAGTAGACATCTGCTTTGAATTCTTTGGCCAGTCACACAGAAGTACCCACTTTTTTCTTTAACAGCATCTCTTGCTGTGTACCACACAGAAACAGTTGTTCTGTAACATACTCATGTCTTTGTAATATTTTGTACAAAATCACACACAGACAAAGGTTAGCATCTGCGTAAAATAAAGAAACATATAAAGACAATACAGTCAGTCATGTTACTGAGCTTAGAATACTAAAGCTCCATTCACTAATACAAGAATGGCTGTAGGACACCAGGCCAAGCCAAAGGTCTGTGTAGCCCAGTAGAGGTAATCGGAAGGAAAAGAATACAAGAAACTGGTAAGGATAGATTGATACGTAAAGATAACCTGGGCTTCAAGTCTACATTGTTATGTTTCCCTGTGAATTTGCCTGACAAGAACATGTTTACTGCATCCAAAGCATCTCACAATAGAAATTCAACAGGGTAAGTTACAACTTGTATCATTTCCCCCCCCCTTTGAATTGTAAACATGCTGCTAGATCATTTTATTTGCTAGTTTCCAGTTCTTATGTTAGGAAAAAAAGTGCACAAGCATTCATAAACCATTACCTCAAAACGATTCATTCCTGTACGTATCTTTTAAACACCCTTGCACACAGGCCTTCCCTGTGCTGAAGACTCCCAGCTTACTAAATACACAATCACCTCAAAACAGATTAAGAGTGGCAATCTCTTGTGGTGAGCCCACCTGCCCACTTCAGAGTTCTGTACAGAGTGCACACTGCCAGCTACTGTGCTGTAAGAGGAATTAACATGGGAAAGAAAACTTCTCTTCTTTCACATCATTCCCGTTATGGCTGTCACAGTCATTTTTCTGTTGACCATACACTTTAGGACAAGAAACAAATTTGTGTTGAAATCTCTCTTGAAGATGAAAATATTGCATACAGCACCATCTTGTTAGCAGATTGATATATTGGTAACTGCATTTTGCCATTTTGAGAGAACAACTCCTCCAGCCCAAGAAATAAAATGGAAAAATATAATCCTCTCAACAGCATTCTGCTTGAAGTCTAGTATCGTTCACTGTACAATATATCTCAGAATTGTGTGCTTTTAGGGAAGTGTTGTGGTGGGGCTTTTTTGTTTGGTTTGGTTTTTCAAGGAAGGATATGCTCCCAAGTGGATGTATGAATGAATTTCCTGTAGTTTCTGCCAGGTGCACAGATGGCAGGAGATTTGGAAAGTGCTCCTGGCACCAAATGCATGATGATTCTTATGAAGTATAGGTTCAGTTGTAAGGAGCAATGCATCTGTATTCATTGAAAACCCTTTATGTTCCATCATATTCTCATGCTTTGTCTTTACCTTATTATTCCTTCTCTGCAAGACAATGATCACAGAACTTGCTGCTGTTGTGCTAGAGAGAAAAATGGGACATTACATCCCTCAAGGAGTGCAAGTGAACTTTTCTGTCTGATTCATGTCTGATTACAGGAACCACAACTCACATGTACACCACTGAGAGCAGGACATAGAAGTTGGTTTAACCTGGAGAGTTACCCCACAGAGACAGGATAAAGTTACATAAAGTTTTAACATAAATTGAAAGAACTATTCAGAGCTATTTTTATCCATCTTTTCCTTACAAGACCAAGTAAAGAAAACCTGGACCAACAGACACTTCTTTAGGTTTTTTTAAAAAGCCTCCACTGGCAGAAAAACAAACAAACAAAAAACACCACAAAAACACCACAGAGATCTTAAGTAACTTATTCTAATGAAGCAGTGGAATACAGATCACATCTTGTAAAGACCATCATTCTTGTTCTCCACTTTTGCTGTCCTTTCTTAAGCAATAGCTTCTAATGGCTAATGGCACTGTCTTGCACATGTCATTCCTGCTGCCACAGTCCCCAGACAGAAATAGACTTTTGTTGTTGTTGACATCATTATGAAATTTCATTCTATTATTTGGTACAATTTTTTATTCTGGTATGATGTTCATGCTTCTTGCAGTACCTATCCACACACACACATTCACTCTTCTGACAGCACCAAGAGGACAGGGACCTTTCTCATCTCCCAGCACAGGTTTGAAGAAACTGGAGGCTGGTAAGAGTTCCTCTTCCTCTACTCCCTGCTAGACACGAGAAGCCTTCGTCTCTGACCTCTGCATGTGGTTTGCTTTCAGAGATGTTTGATTGCTGAGCTCCCTGCTGGATTTCTTTGCATCCTCACAAATGCAAGACAGAAGCAGCCTTCATCAGATTTCTGCTAGGAGTCAAACATCAAACCACTACCAAATTGTGAAAAGCTGGAAGTAGCACGACTTAAGAAAAGGAAAGGGAAAGGATATAGGAAGGGAACATCTTGTCATGGACGTGAAGTGCAGTTCCTATACCGTACCCATGGGAAGCATAGCAACTATCAGAAAATAATGCTGTGGCATTTTCTCCCTCTTAATTACATCAAAGTTGCATCTCTTAGATAATTTCAAGGGCTCAGAAGACAGCTGCCACTCTGAACATTCAGCTTTCTTGTCATCAGAGCACATTCCACAAAATGTAACAAATAAATCTGGCTTCTCAGTCTTGTACAGCAAAGCACAGTTCAGATCTGGGGGAACCCAAATTGCAAAGCCAGTGACCCCATAGGTCTGAGGAGATCAGCTGCAACTGAAGTAGAAGAAAACAGCTTCCACCAGCAAAGGGAGGCTGTACTACCTCAGTGAGGCTATACTACCTCCCTGAACTTCCAAAACAGCAGCATCCACTGCTAACTGTGGAGTTACATTATTTGTACTAGACCAGTTGAGCATGGAAAAGTTAGGAACACATGGGAGAAAAAAAAAAATAACAACCCACAAAAATCCTGTCTCCTTTATCTTCTATGATTTGGCTTTTGGATCAGAGAACAGCAGGAGTTAAAATATACTGTTGGAGCCCAGTAAGCAACCTAAACAACCAAAAACGGATAAAAAGACCTTGGAGTGTGACAGAAAACACTTAAGTTTCAGTAGAAGGATCTACAGTGTCAAGCGCTGCAGCACTGTCTGGGGCTGCCACAATCCCCACTGCCAGCTGGAACACAAATTAAGGGCAAAAATGAATGATACTTGCAAATGAAACATGAGCTACAGATGTATAATTTGGGAGTTTCCAACAGCTCAGGGAAGAAACAGTACTAGACAGAAAGCTGAAAGCTGCCTGAGAGATGCCTGCTAGCATTTGAGCAGTAAAGGCAAGAAAGATTTAGAGTTAGCTGGGGAAACTGGAACAAGAAGCTTTCTTTGAGACTAATGCTGCAAACTAAAGAATAAGAATATATTTGAAATGTAATATACATAGGTTGGTCCAAAAGTAATACTTCTTTTTTATTTCCATGGAAGCTACAACAGCTGCTAAGAGCGCAATAACACTATTTGAGAGACCAAATTCTCAGCTACAAAACACAACTTTTCAGCACAGCCACCACCATCAGCTGTGCATTTTTGCCAGCAAAGAACAGGAGCCTGCATGCCACACTCGGAGCAATCTGCACCAGTGGAGGTGACTCACTGTCACCACTGCTGAAATGCACCACCCACCACCTCACTGTCCTCACACACACTGTTTGGTCTCCAGAAACATTCAGCAAGTGTCAAGGAACATCAACAGGTGCTGTTTTTTCCACATGGAGGAATTAAATGACATCATTTTGGTTTATGTGCACTTCCATGTCAGACACCATTTTACCAGAGTGCCCCTCTGCTGCCATCTGTCACGGCAACAACATTTAATGGAATACCGATGGATAGGTTCAACCTCTACTGCCATACCACCACCATCTGCCTCTGACATTGTGGGCCAACATAAAATTGGAGGCATTGCTTCTGAAGCAGCCCTCGTGTGTGTGCATGTGCATACACAAAGATCTGACATATAGGTACATATAACTAATAAAGACAATGGTGGGGCCCCGAAGTCAAAAGGGAAAATGCTTCAGATCATAAAGCAAAGAGACTCCATCGTTAGGATTTGATATGAGAAGCTGTCACGGAGGAGAACTGTCGTAGGACTCAAAAGGCAACTTTATATTTAAATATTGAACCACCTATGACTACCTTGCTTTGCTTTGTTTCTAAATTGGGGTGGAATCAGTCTTTTAGGAGAGCTCAAAGAACTCCAGCTGAAAGCATACACGTGGTCTCAAACAACATGAAAACTCACACAGATCATGGCAAATGCACAAGAGCAATAACAGATCATATCAGTATTGTTGGCATGCACCTAAGTGCTGCTCAGCCCGTATATTATTTCTGTCAGTGTCTGGTAATAAAAGCTGGAGTCCTGTAGAATAACAGGACGATAGCGCTTTTTCCTCAGCGTATTTCCCTCATCCACCCAAGCACAGGTCAGAGGCTTCCTGAGCCTCTGGGAGATGTCCTTGCATTCGGAGCCCTACACTGGCTGTTCTTTCATCACTTTTGCCCAAGCACTGACCAAAATCTTGCTCAGCTACAGAAAAACAAAACTGACCTTGGGCTAAGGCTACAGAAAACTCTTGCCAGTGAAGCAATGTTAGCTTTGTTCCTTTACCTCTTTTATTGAAATCAGTACCAAAGTAAGCTATTTTCTTTGTACAGCCTATTCCCCTTAGATGGAGTACAACATAACGGAGTACAAGATACAACAGAAGGGTTTTCTAGTTCAGGTATCTTAGCTATCCATTTCTAGCCTTTAAAAAATATCCAGATACCAGAAATATCTATTGAATAGTGTCCACACAGAATAAACATTTAAATATAAACATGTATCAATAATGTATTCCTTTCAGTGTTTCATTAAAAATACAAAATAAAGAAACAATGCCAAACTGTTTAAAGCCTCATTTTTTGTGAATCAGAGCTTATGCTTTACTTTCAAAAATTGAATGTTGCCCCCAGAAGCCTCATCTCACCCATCCTTAAAATATAATACTTATAGAACAAACTATTTACTGAGGTTTTGGGAAAACTGAACAGTGTTGTAGTTTCTCTCTGTTTTGTTCTGTTTTTTTTCTCTAACTTGCAGACTAAACACTGATCCCCTCCAGGCACAAACCAGACCTACCGGCTCTATGGAAGTGACAGCTCTATGGAAGTGACGTGCCTCAAAGGTAGCACAAAGTTATTGTACAACACCACTGAATCAAGCAGTCCAACTCCAATAAAGCATTAACAAGCAGGGCTCACACGAGTGGCCACAAGAAGACCTGAACTCAAATTTGATTGCCACACAAACTGCATTGCTAACAAACGATTACAGCTCATAGTTCCACATATAGTCTGGATTTACTGCGGCTCTCTACTCGAAGCAAAGCAGTACCCAGAAGAACAAGTAACATGCTGAACAAGGAAGAGGAGGGCTGGAAGTCAGTTTCTACTCTTTTTCTAAACTATTATTATGGACTTACTTTTAAGAACCAATTTACATATATTTTCTGTAAGTACTTTGTTTTCCCTTACCTGTAAAATGGTATTGAAAGCAGAAAAAACCTGTTGGTTCTTACTGGCCACCTCAGAGACATAAATAGGTATTTCTTTAAAAAGCAATCTATTTTTGCATATTTACAAGGCACAAGAAAAAAAAAAAAGGCTATACTGCATGAATATTTTTGTGCACAGTGCATTTAGGAATAAGTCTAGCAGTGTTAGTATTCTGATGAGGAAAGTGGTCCTAAGGGCTGATGCATCTTATGACTGTAGGAGAATTGATAGCAGAAGAGAATTCTTTGATGTTTTATTTAAAAGTTTTGCTCAATAATTCAATAAAGAGATCCATTATAAATCAGGAAAGAGTACAAACGTGCCATGAGTACAACCCAGTAATGAATAAAAAACAAACACAAGGATAGCAAGTATTTGTAATCTAGGAAGCAGACAATTCACTATTTAGCTCCACCAAATTAAGTTACCTGGGGTGTAAATCAGCATGGAGTCTTGGATCTAAATTGGACCCCATTATAACCTTCCATCCTGCAAGGGTGAGTAGATGAAAATTACATAGCAGCTCCAGTGTTTTTACAAACAGACATGCAGTGCTGTAGCTTTTTGATCACCTATTGATGCCAGATTTTTCTCAGAATTCCAGGTGAAGCAAACATAAAAAGGAAAGACGTAAGATTGATGGTATGTGTTTTGTTTCTTAGATCTTTCCCTGTCATCCCTGAAAAGTACTGTCAGATCGGTTAGATACTCCAAGGCCTTTTATTCAACCAAAACTCTGCGCACAAATCCAGAAGAACTTCACCCCAAGAACAGGATTTACCTTTTCTTCATTGCTCAGTGCTCCAAAGTGTTAGAAAGAATACGTGGAACAACAGGAGTAGATTTTCACAATTTATGATGGACGCAGCTTAATGGACACCTCATTTCCCCTCAAGCTGCCTTTATTTAGTTTCAGATACAAAAGGCTGGAAATACTAATTTCTTATGCTTCCACGGCTACAACTCATCCAATCATTCTGTATTTCCTAGCGAGAAGTATAAATTATTTTAGATAACCTCACAAGGCATCTGCTGGCAGTAAGGAAGCCAAAGCAAATTAGGAAACATTTCCACAAAGAGTCTTCCATCAAACACAGCAAATATGGAAATTTCCAACAACTCAGCATGTTGCTACATCGCCATTTGCCCATAAATTCCAATAATACATAGCTCTGGGATCCCATTAGCATCCTAGAGAGTGAATAACAAGTGGTCTATAAATCTCAGATCTA